CAATTCCATTATTTTTCACAGTTTAGCCTGGAAAATTTTTTAAAGATAAACCTAATTAATTTACAGGTCCCAATTAATTAATTTACAGTTTCATTATGCCTTTATAGTTTAAGTTGAAATCTTTTAAAGGTAAATAAAATTTCACTTTTGAGGCGATGAAAAATGAGCTATGCTCTTTGGTTATGATTGATTGGAGAGTACCATTACTTGTACATTTTTAATATAACCATTTCGGAGCTTTGAACCATCTTTGAAGTCAACGAGAGTTGTAAACTTAATATTTACGACTCTCAATGTTCTTTAGCAATGTTTAATTTTGATTGGTTCTTTTTTTTATCATGACATTCTTCCGGATAGCACAAATTTACATCCGATATTTATTTTTATAAATAATTCATCCGATCCTTTTAATGTTCAGCAATTATCTTCAATTAGAAGTAAATGTCAAGTTGACATATCATTCTTCATATCACTCATAAATAAAGTTCTGTTTACAAAGTGATAAAATTATCCCGCATAAATTTTGTAGCAAATACTTTTTCAATTTCAACAGTTAATAGCATCAAATTAAATGAATGATAATTTGCTGCTGTCACATTTTCGATACAGCAAAATCATTTGAAATTCAAATTCATTTTTAACAAAATTGTTCACTCCCACTAATTACTATTATTTTTCATTAGTTTGTTCCCAATTATTAAAAATTTCCTTTTCTGTTTGTTTTTAATCTATTTTCAATGCCGTAAATTATCTTCAAATTGACTAATTCTGAATTATACAATACTTCTGTTCTAAACTTTGTAATAATAAGTGTAAGTTGCTCTAAAAATCTATTTGTGTTGGAAAATTCAAGTAAAATGGAAATTGGAAAATTTACACTGTTCACACAAATCATTATATCAAATTATTTTTTGTTATTTTTTACACCAACAGCTGCTTTTCATTTTTACTTTTAGCTTTAACTCTTACATTCATAAAAAACTTCAACAGTATTTTCCAATCTTTCCATAATTAACCGTTAAATTCTTCTTTTCAAAGTTAATACCACTGAAAAGAGAGATGAAGACAGACAGACAGAGGGCGAGAGAATGAGAAATTTTTTCCTTATTGTAGTTCTCGTAATATTTTTTACAGATCATCCAAAATCATTGTATTTTTTATTGAAATTTTTTCACTTACTAATTCTCATCTTCATTTATGAATTGTTTGAGTGAAATGTAAGTAATGGATTAAATATCATGAATAATTTGAAAATTCCATTAACCCGAAAATGAAACCATAATCTGCACCAAAAATGCTCTCAATAATTCTCATTGCAACATTTGACGATGAACATTGTTTGATGTTCACTTTCAAGAGGCTCATTTACCTTTATTGCTGCAAACAGCCTCTCATCTGAATCAATTCCTCATTAATAGCACTTGCATAAAATTCTCGATCTTGAACAAATAAAATTAGAGAAGGAAGGCGAAAAATTTTATAATATATGATACAATCATAGCTAATATCATTTGTTCAATGTAAAAATTAATTTCTTAAATTTTCCGCATTTCTGTTTTCCGTTTCTCTTCAACTACCCATATCGCATTATAAATTCGTCACTGTTTTCAGAAAATGTTCACTTTTCTTCTTTACAGTTCGGTAAGATTTATATATGAATGTGTATATTACATGAATTATAGAGAAGAGATTTGGGGAACTAATTAATTAATTAATGAATGATTAAAATAGTTGCAGTAGTTAGCAATGGAACTGAGTGGTATAGTATTACTCAAGCTAAGTTATATCTCACCTGATCTTGCTGGACAATTGAATACACACATTCACATACACACATTCACACACACATACACACACAGATAATTCTGAATTTGTGATAACAATGATAATTCATAATGATAATACTCTCGAGAACTTTGAGGAAATGTTATTGCAATGAAATAAATATCTTTTTTCCTTCTCTCAATTATTTCATATATTTTTGAAAGTATTAAAGTTATGCTTTCGTAGAGAAAATTTTGGAAAAAAATAAGTTAGCATATATTTCAAAATATGTATTATACTATTTCTATTTGAGATCAATTTTAAAAGTTAAAAAGTTTTGCATTACTAATGAGAGTAATTAGAATTAGAATTCATTTAACTAATTCAGGAGAAAAAAAGTGCACCAAAAACTGTCAAATAATCCTGATTCAAGTATAAAATTTGGCAAATTTTGGTTAAGGTATTTTTAAATTCATATTCAAACGGTATGATTTGAAAATTATCTTTACAATGAACAATAAATAGTAATAGCTTTGCCTCAAAACTCATCGTCCAATGTAATTTCATTTTTCTTTCTAACTTTTATCGAGAATAAACACACCTTGTAAATAATCAGATTGCGATGGCCTAGGTTGGATTACAATAATTGCTTTCCGATCTTCCATCATTTGTCGCAGCTTAATTTATTCTCTGTAAATTTATAAATTAACAAAATTTGTTAATTTACATTACGACTATTCATAATAAAAAATAATACAAAATGCACCTTTTTGGAATATACCTGAAATTGGTACGATTAATGGCCAAAGAATAAAATATCAAAAATCGTTCCACAACAACAACTAAATTTTGAAACAAATCATTTTTTCTTAAAATGACTATTTCAAATTATACAAAAAAATTAAATTAGAACAAAACCAACAAATAACGTTAAAACGTTTGACCGAAAAATTAATTCAACGGAATGAATTTTTCAAATTTCTTTAAAATTACCTTTTACATTACTTATATGAAGAAAAGCTTACTTTCCACAAAAAATTTTGGAAAGAAAATTGATAAGCCAAAATATTCTTGTGATAATTCAAACGGAAACAAAATAAAGATTTGGCAAAGCATTAAATATTTATTAGGCATTTTAACAGGAAATTAATGCCATAGCAATTCTTGATATAAATCTTAAATTCATGAAATTTTGTTCACAACTCTACACAAGACTTCAGTAGTTGATTATTTATTTAAGAATTTATCTGATATCTGATATCTCGGAATAGCGGTATGCTTTCTAATGGTGCATAAGATATCATGGCGTAATGCCTTTAATTAAAATTGATTTAGGAAGTATTGCACAAAGATTTCATTCCTTCGTAATATTTAAAAATCACTTTTCCTTTCAGTTTACTGCTTGGTAAATATTTCATTAGACAATGAAATTTAAATTAATCAGCAATGTATATATCATCATTTATCTTCCATTTATAATTTATTATTATTATTCCTCTTCAAGTTATCTACATTTTTTGCAAAAGATTTTAATTTTGGAAAATTTCCTCATCGAAAAAAATATATGAATTTAAAAGGAATGATATCTATTGTTAGGATGGAATATTAAAGTAGTCAAAATGTAATTTAGAAGCAGAAAAAAGAAAAGAATAAGGAATAAACTGTTATTAATGAAAATGAGAAATAAACTTACAATCTTTCTATTTCTTATTCTTTCCATATAAATGGAGGATTTTTCAATCAATATTCCTCAAATTATATTTTCAAATTCTATCCAAAACTAAATGGATAATTGAAATTGACTAATTAATGCAAAGGAGTAAATTAAGAAAAAGTTAAGAAAATTTGTGAAAAGGTTTTTTTTTGAAATTCTACATGGAACGGATGAGATGTAACGATTGTTATACTAAAAAATTCTTGAACAGAGGAGAAATAAGCAACCACGGATAGAACAATTTCCAATACAGTTTTTTTTAGCACAAAATGATCATCCCACTTCGCATTTTGTTTCATTTCACAATTCTTTACTAGTTGCATCAATCAGGAATAGTTTAACTAACTAACAGAAAAGTACCTACTTCCAAATATAAATCAAATTAGAAATCGATGAAGCTTTCAGAATAAAAACAACTGATATTTCAAATACTTATAAAACATTGCCGACTTTAAGCTTCAGCCTCAAAAAAAATCTCGAACACCGACAATGTTTTTCCCTAAAATTTTATTAGTATTCTAGACCTTGATGAGTCACAGGTATTTCCCAGTTCGTCTTTCAGCATCCCTATAACCTCTTTCTACGTTAGAAATAGTGCCGAAAATTCCTCACTGAAATCATCTCTGATCTTTCCGAGAACTCAACTAACCGTATTGTATTTGATAAACGAACAGGAATATTTTACAGAAACATGTAACGATTCATCAGGCTATAACCTGAAATTACTCCACAGAAGGGATTAGGTCATATTCCGTTTTACATATATCCAGCACGAGAACTGTGCGAAAGACCAACATTGTTCAACTACTGTAACAATTCTTTCCATTAGTACAGTACAAGGAAGGACCAAATGTAAAACTTGATCATATGTTTCAAAAAATCAATGCACATGAAAACCGAAAAATAGTTATTTTAATAACTTAAATATTTAGTCATCTGAAAAAGCATCCGATTTTCAAGGATTCTAATTGACATACAGTATCAAACAAAAGAAAAAACGGAAAAAAAGTTACCATATATTGAACTGATCTGTACAAAGTCTAAGTACTAACAAACGTGTCTCTATTCTTGACAAGAAAAAACAGGTAATATCAAGTTTCAAATGTCAAGTACATTTGCAGGATAATATTACGGAACAAAAAATGAGATGAAATGTTTCGTTAGCTCCGCGAATTTCTGGAATGTCACTTGATAAAATTTGGAATGTAAACAAGTAAGGAATTCACTGCCATCAGTATTGATCGTGTACCTACAAGACGCAAAATCTGGGAAAGAAATGCATTGGAATAGGATATTATTCTGTGAATCACTTGAGCAGATCAGATTCTTTGAGGAACATGAAAGTAAAATCGAAAATCTATTTGTATAAGGAATTTTTCTAGAAAGTCCTAAACTATGTGAATGGTTGATAATTCTTCAGAACAACAGGGTAGAACAGAAGAAATGAAAAGAACCGTAACAATTATAATATCTGAAGTTGAGCAGAAAATGCTCTAAACAAATTTAAGGAACCTAAATTATTCTATTGCAACATATCAAACAACACTTTAAGAGAAGAAGTATAATAAGTTGGTATCAAATCTTCACGTCCTTGTTTCTCGAATTCTTCTACTTTATCCATATTGTGCACTCCAGTACCTACCAAAACCGATGTCAAACCATTCACATGACCGAATTTTATATCTGTTTCACACGAATCACCAAATATTACCGACTTTTCAGCTTTAACATTGAACCTAAAAAGAATCCGCAAGGAACCAGAATAATCAACTTTGTTGTTTTATTTGACAGATATGGAGTTAACTAGGAAATGAAATCATTTAAATGTTTAGACATGCTACACAAGTAAAAATTCACGACCATAATTTGGTACATAGTATAGGCTATTAGAAACACTATGCTAAGAACAAATACCACAGAATTATGATAGACAAAGAGAAAAGAGCAGCACGATGCACTAATTTACCATTAATTTTAGTCAAAATTAGTAAATTAATAAAGATATACCTCTCTTTGATATATTCGAACATTGTTTTGCTAGGCTTGCCAATTATGATTGGTTCTTTGTCGGCAGCTGTCTGCACTGCTTTCATAGTTACACCCGACCCTGGTATAACAACACCTAAAAAGAGCTCTAAGATCCATTTTAAAAAACAGCTTTTCGCTTAAACTTGAAGATTACAAAAAGTAAGTTAATTGACTTCTTTCCAACTGTTCTTTTTGCTGCTGGTATATCCAGTACTTCGGTTAAAAAATACTAAAGTACTATTTACCTGGCACTGGTCCAGGCAGTCTTGGGTCTGGATTGGTAGCATAAAAACGTACTCCTGGCTGGTTGATATAGTTCGCAGCCCTCATTATTTTGGGATAGCTTAAATGTATATCGAAACTAACTACTACAGCTCTCACTTTTCTGGATGTATCCATTTGTTGTATGGATTCAACGTTAGTATAAGACTCAACAGAATCGGGCCCTGTTCCGAAGCTTTCTATTCCTTCTTTTTTCAGTTCTCTCTGAAACACGAAAATCACTGACAAATCAGACTTTTCCTTGGCCAATATATGAGCCAAAACTGGTGATAAGATGTGATCATCAGATATCATATCAATCAAAATCTATTCGTTTAGAAAGTAACGAAATGAAATTTTAGAAAAATAGCACTTACTTGTAAACCACTTGAACCCACAGTATATACTGGCAAATCGGACTTTTCTTTGGCCAATATATGAGCCAAAACTTTAGCTGGTGATAAGATGCGATCATCTGTTATCATATCAAAACCTATTCGTCTACATTTCTTTACATAATCATCCAGCGTTTTAGTCGAATTATTTGTTACTATGAAGACATTTTTGCCTGCAAATATTTTATCTTCAAAGACTCAGCAGAAGCTGAAAGTTAAAAATTATTTAAGCAGAGTATTAAAATGTATTTATACCAAAAATAATTTCCGTTTTTTCCTACTTTTGAGAGAAGTCGTGGAAAATTAAACAGTTGCAACAATTCTCAACATTCTTAAGATGTTTAACAAAGGTGAAGAGAGGAAAAAGAAAAGAGAAGGAAAAGAAAAAAGGAATAAAGTATTTAAAATTTTTGGATAAAAAAATGGAAAAGGAATGGTTTTAAATACAAACCGGCAGATATGAGATGTCGCAGGAAATTGGCAGCACCCGGCAGCGGAGTTTCATCAAGCCAGAGCACACCATCAGCATCGAAAAAGAATGAATCGAATGAACTGATCAGTTGGTGGCCGTCTGCCTGTTGTACCGTTGACATGCCCTGCAGTGACACAACTAATTATTGAAATGATATTTGGTAATTTACTACAGTTATATATGCGTCACTTTTCACAATCGCCATGATCTCTTAGATTAGATGGCCGTCGTATCTGACTATTCAATCTTGAGGCTCCATATCCTGCCAAGCCCAGCATCTTTGAATCTCAGACTTTTCGGTTATTTTCAGATGAGAAGATGTAGCCTTTACAACTTTTATGTCATTTATTAACATCTTATTAAACTGTGAATGGACGATCATGTTAATCTTCTATAGTAGTCATCTCAATCCTTCTTTCTTACAGTCTAATTTTCGAAAATGAGACCGCTTTTTTGAATCAGGAATAAGCTGAAATAATGAAGGGATGACTAGAGAGATCTGGGAAGTATGGGTAAGTAACTGAGGATTAAGAGAAAGAGTGAGAGTGAATGAACGAGAGGAAAGAAAGATTAGAAGGACAAGGTATGTGACAAGGTCAAAAATAAATAAATATTCTAATCTTAACTTTTGCATATCATAATGTGCGGATGGAAAATTACTGAAAAGAACGAAAGCTCAAAGGAGTCGGCAAAACATATCTCTGTTTCAAAAATTTATCAAGCTGCAACAGTTCATCGATGTTTCAAAACGAGATCTTGCAAAATCAGTCGATATTGAAAGTATACGATACTATGATTGTCCTAATTACATCATTTGGCATCAGTTCAAGCTGAGGCGAGCAGAATGGGGAGGGTTTCGTCATCATTGGTCAGTGTAGTGGTCAGTGGGCGCGCAGAGCGGTGGGGCGGCGGAAGTTGGCTTCAGTGGTGGTGAGCTTGGTTGATGAGTGGTGTGTGCGTGGGTCCCTGTCTCATTGCAGATATAGGAGAGCCTTGCATAAGTCATGTCACATGATTACCTGTATGGAATCTATGCTTTGTGTGTTGTTTGTTACCTTCAATGAATGATGTGCTCTACTTTGCGTGCGTGTTTGCGCGCGCGTGCGACGCGTCATTGTTGATGATAATAGTTGTTGTTGTACTTGATATGAGGGTCGCCAGAGGAGGAGAAGGGGAAGGATAGATTGAAGTCTCGGATTCAGTAGCACCAAGTATGTTCCAAATTTCGGGCAAGCTGCAAGGAATATTTCTGTGTGTGTGTGTGTGTGTGTATATGTGTGTGTATCTTTGTCTGTATGTGTTACCTTTGCGCATTTATGAGATTACCGCAGTTCGTGCCAGGTGGTGCGTGGGGGTGAGGGAGGGGGAGTTTTGCCTTTTGTTTGCAAAAGTGTCTGATGATCACCGCCGGTTTGATGTTGTTATACGACGTTGGCCGATGATATTCTGTATTTCGCATTATTTCACCGAGGATACTTCACCCTTCATCTTTCCTGTATTTAGTATAAAGTTCCCAAATTATGTTGTAGTCCATCTTTACCACTGATCCAGCAGTAGATTTTCATGGCTTAAGGAAACAGAGTTTCGTGGCTTTTCATAGTTTAAGACCTACTAGTATCTCTGTGAACCACATGCAACCGAAAGACACGGAGAGTGTATGAACTCTGTTTCCTGGCGATTAGCGGTGTTGAGTTACATCAAAGATTTCATTTCTTGTCCTTAGGCGTGGTCATGCGAACAAGCTGTTTTCTTGTTAGCCTGTCTTTTTTTCAGTTCCTTGATATTGTTTTTGAGTTGCAAAGTTTGTTGTTCTAAAATTTCAGAAGATCGAAGACTTGCTTAATGAAGTAATTTAAATTAACAAAATGTTTTAATGATAGGCGAAAAGTATGCAGCTATTTCTTTCAACTATTTGAAACGCACTCGTATACTGAAAATTATTTGGATTGTGTCATTGGTATCTTGCGGTTCTATTATTGCTATGAATATTACTGCTGAACAATGGTTACTTTTCATTACTTTACATGCTTTATACGTGTAACCTTTCAAAATATGCTCAATTTTCTCCTATCCACTTTTGTCATGGGTTTCTTAATTTTGGATTATATTTTATTTAGCATATTACATGCTGATCTATCCCTTTTATTAAGAGACGAAGCTTGGCTCCTTCAACGGTGAGTGGGACTTCGTCGTCGCCTGCGATAAAACCGTGCATTCTGTTCGGTGACGACAAAAAATTACGGGAACGGAAAAAACACAAATTGAACACATTAGAAGTTAGTGCATATTTCCTGGAATTTTGTGTAATAAAAATGATTTATGTTTTCTGAATTAATCTGTGAAGATACTGAATATTTTGTTTCTTGTCTTTCAAAAATAGTTGTGAAGCAGTCATTCATTTTGCATTTGCTCTTTGTATTAGAGTTACTTCGATCTGATCCTTACAATTGCGGCTAATCTTCCAGCTGTCTCTCGTCAATATGTTGGTGTGTGACCTACCCGTAGCTCCGAATATGTGTGGGACAGATTGCGCAACACATATCGGTCCACGGGAGAGCTACACACTGACTCTGACTCGACCTTCCCGCCGTTGCCGACCTCTCTTCATTATGATACGTTGACCAGATATCGTATGGCAGCTCTTTCTTAATGCTCTCTAGTGTATTAAAGTTGTTCTCTACTAATCTCAAGCTCCTGAATTCTCAGTTTTATTGCTCTTTTTTTGCTCTTCCTTGAAAACATTTAGAAAATCTTTGGTGTAAGGCCCGGTCCGTACACTTCATACCAGAAATGTTTAACATTTTTGCCCGCCAAGGTCATTAATCGGAATGTGTCATGTTCAGTTTTCATTTTATCTGGTTGCAAAAGAATTTTGTGGCTTCGCGTTACTTTATAGAAATCAGCTTAATTTGCTTTCTTCTACTTTTTGGGATAGCTAATTATTCCTTTAGCGTCATCACTGTGATTCATGTATATTTTTGGGAAAATAAGTGCTCTCTTTTACAGTATGCAGGCATACCTGCCATCATTTACTTGATTTTTCTAAGTAAGCTGACGAACACAATTTTTAAATCTATAGTACAGTGCTCTCTTTAGTCCATATTTTCAGAACGATGAAAATCCTGATCGAAATGAGCTTAAAAGTCCATATCGTAAAGTTTTAATCACATCTATCGATGATTTGATGCAAAAGGAGCAGGGTTTCCATGAAGAAATGATCAGCAAACTTCTAAGCAGACCTTTCAAAATGCCCATTCCTGATTACAGAAGTAACTGTCATATCTGTATATGTCTTGTTTGTTCATTGTTTTGAAACTTGTTAAAATCGATTAGTTGACCCCGAAAACACGATTTCATACTTCCATCGGCATGGCGGCTGTCGGTTAACCCGTAGTTTCGAACATGTGTTGGTATATTTGATAACACATGTCGGTTCTCGGGTCAATTGCTCACTAGCCGTAATTTCAAGCCGATATCCATCACCATTGTTTACCCGATTTATGTAAATGTTTTAACATTTAATAGTAGTACATCTTTGGTTTTCTTATTTTGGATCATTAATGTACTTTGGAGAGTTATCAATTGCAGAAAAGACCAGTGAATAGCTAGATGTATTTTACTTTGACAGGTCCTGGTAGTTCTCGTCCTCTTGGCCTCCGTCATTCGACGGTTCGCTGTGCATTGTTTGACCCATATACTGAAGGAGCATTGGTGCTATTCACACCACCGGAACTTAGTGCACATGATACACTCAAACTTGATACTACTAACAAACAGGTGAATATCGCTTCACTTGTGAGTTACTTAAAGCTATCACATAAATTAATATGAAACAACATGCTTTTCTGCTCTGGCTTCTTGTTCTGGATATGTTATTTTGTCAGTTATGAAATCTGGATCCTTCGCTAGCAGAAGTATGGGATGTTCTGCGATTTCATCAAGATTTGATATTTTCAATATAATTGAAGGAAAAAATTTGCAACAACTTCAAATATTTAAAGTTAAATTAAAAGGTACATGTTGTGGTGGATCCAATTCTGAGCGCTGTTCTGCGACCTCATCAACGGGAAGGTGTGAAATTTATGTATGATTGCGTCACCGGTGTTCGCATACCTTCCGCATATGGTTGTATCATGGCTGATGAAATGGGTTTGGGCAAAACACTGCAATGTATCACGCTAATGTGGACATTACTTGTATGTCTATTATCATGTAATAATTAGAAGGCCTGTGATACTTCTCTATTATGCATAACAATCGAAAATTTACACTGCAGAAAAGCAACCTCTAGAAGGTATTCCATAATAAACACAAGCAACCTAGCTAGGTAGCACTGTGTCATTAATTGAAGTTTGCAGTTTAAATGTGTGAATGGATGATGAAAAGGAGGGAGTGAGCTTCTTTGAGTGATAAAGCGTAAACTAAGAAGGAGGAAAAAAGTTAAAAACAGGTGCAAGGATTTCATAGAATCTGTATTTATGAATTGAATCTCATGGGTATTTTCTAGTAGTAGGTGAAGCAGTTTAATATGCTTCGGTCATGAGAAGACATGAATATCAAATCTTTGATGAATTGTATTAATGAAGGAGACACAATGAAGTGAATTTCTGTTCTAACTCAATGATGCTTGTTCTATTGGAGAAAACCAAGTTGGGATGATGAAATTACTTAAATTAAAAAAAAATTACTTCAGAGGCAAGGACCAGATGGAAAGCCGACATTGAATAAGGCAGTGATTGTCTGTCCGAGCAGTCTTGTTAAGGTAATCCTTGCTTTGCTCATTTCGGGTACATTTTTGACCTTGAGATAAAGGTACAGTCAGGGGAGCTTGATGCCTCAAAGTAAAGATTAATGACCATGTCTACTAATGCCAGAAAAGCCAGACATTATAAACATTTGACACCTCTATGAAACAAAAAATGCTCAGTTATCTGGTTCAGTCAATTAGCTCTTTGCAATACAGCTTTAAAAAATGTTTTTTGAAGAGCTGCTGCAGGTATTCACTGAAAAACACAGTTTTGTATTTCGAAAAAGTTTATGTTTCAAGTGCTATATGATAGGATGACTCGAACTAGGGATTTATGAATTTTTAGAACTGGGATAAAGAAATTAGAAAGTGGCTCGGCGGACGAGTAAACGCATTACCCGTGGATTCAGGAGGGAAAGATGAAATTGACAGGAATTTAGGTTTGTCTGGCATTCCAGGATTTCTTTCATTGTTCAGTAGTCGAGGTTAAGTAGTACATCTTAACAAATCTTTGTAAAAATGAACGAAATATATTTTTTATGAGGTAATAATGATGAAAAGTATTGAATAATGTATCTTTTTTTTAATTTTTTATTCCAGGAAAGTTCATATCTCAGATAGGTGTACGTTGCCCTACACCTGTGCTCATTATCTCCTATGAAACTTTTCGGCTTCATGCTTCCATTCTGTTGCAGAAGGAAGTTGGATTAATCATTTGCGATGAGGTTTCTAATATCTTAAAATAATCTTTTTCTATTTCTTTATATCTGTGAAGTCAGTCCGATAGTTCTTCTAGTGGTCGGATATTATACTATATTATACAATCTTATGTCGATTGCGTGTATTCTGAAGCTTCACAGTTCTGGATTCATTTATATTCATATCATTAATCGTTCACGGCAACTACCTGTTTTTTGCTTCTTAACTTTCATTTTTTCAAAATCATTTTTGATGCTGCTGCTAGCGATAAATTCAATTCTGCTATTACCGACGAGAGAATCTTATCCGCTCATATTCTTATGCTCTTTTTCATTTCATTATACGATACTGATTCGTATCTTTATTTTTTATCATCCATTCGTGCTTCATGCAACGATCATCCAATTTATATTAATTGTATGATTTATTTAATATCTCAGGGTCATCGTTTAAAAAATAGTGACAATCAAACATATCAAGCGCTTTTCGGTTTAAAATGTGAGCGACGAGTACTTATTTCTGGCACTCCAATACAAAATGATCTTTTGGAATATTACAGGTTGCTGTAATTTTTAAAGAACCTTCAAAATTTTTAATGAATTGTCAACCTATCAAAGTCAAATAACATTTCATTAATAATCAATCTAATAGAGACAATCAGAGAAATCAGAGAATCCAGAAATTTTTGAATCACTTTTGTTTTTAGTCTTATAAATTTTGTAAATCCTGGCATACTTGGAACAGCCTTAGAATTTAAACGACGTTTCGAAAATATTATTCTCCGAGGCCGAGATGCTGATGCGACAGATGCACAGCGTGAAAGAGGTGATGCTGCACTCCTGGAGATGTCAGCCATTGTAAATAAGTGTATCATTAGAAGAACATCCGCACTGCTTACGAAATATTTACCGGTACAATATTTTGTCCACTTTTTAGGCACCTTCTAAGTGTTGATATGAAATCGTTTGCTGCTACTCTGTCAAGTGCTTACATTTATTTTAGGTCAAATATGAACTTATTATTTGTTGTAAGTTAACGGAACTGCAAGAGAAATTATATAAACAACTTATTAGTGCATTTTCAATCAGTGGAAAGGAGAAAGTAACTGAAAGTAAGTATTGATTTCGATCTAAATTTTCAGTTACATATGGAAAAGAATTGGATACATTATTCGCAAGATTCTTCCCATGAGATGATTAATGCAATATTCTCATTTTTAGGTGATAAAATAACGGGAACGGCGCTCTCATTCATTACAAATTTGAAGAAACTATGTAATCATCCACAGCTGATACTTAATAAATGCCAGAAGAAAGAGGAAGGATTTGAAGGTTTCATTTATTTGATATAATCATATAATTCTCTGGCAGTAATAGCTTATTTTACTAACAATTGCCACTATACAGTAATTTTCTAGGTTGTTTAAAATTGTTTCCTGGAGAATTTGGTCGGAAGTTTGAGCCAGCATTTTCTGGAAAAATGAAAGTTCTAGACTATTTGTTAGCAGCAACAAGAGCAGCTACAAATGACAAATTTGTTCTGGTGTCTAATTATACACAAACGATTGATGCATTTGTTGAAGTAAGCTTCGGAATATACATATTTCGGTATTTCAAATAAACAGTTGCCTATTTGTACACTAATACATATCTTGTAATCATAACATACAAATCATATGCATAGAATAATTTCAAATAATTAATTAGGTCAGTTTGTGTTAAAATTGAAAGTTGCTGAGAAAAGCTCGTTTGATTTGGAAGTTCATTTGTTCAAATTATTTATAGTGACCTATTTATGCAAGCTGTATGAAGAGGAGGAGGAAAATGAGCATAGCGTTAGATATGCAGGTCGATGTTATGACTGTGTAAAAAAATCTTTAGTTGTGTCAACTTCGTCGCTATCCGTATATTCGTTTGGATGGGACTTGTACAATTAAACAGCGAGCGAAATTAGTGGAGAAATTCAACGATCCCGAGGTTACATTTAATTAGTCTGAGAATTATGGAACTTGCAAAATTTATGACTAAATTAATCATGAGTTGGTGATTTTTTTGAATTCATATCTCTATCCTTGATTTAATCGGGGTGGTGAAAAAAATAACTAAAAGTAACTACATGGACAGTATTACAAAGGGATAGGAAAAAAATTTGAGAGACAGACACGAAAAGATGTGTTTAAAATATGAAAATTTAATTCATCGCTCAAAATTATCGTAGGAAACAAATTGAATATGCGTTATATTCTAGAGTGCCGAGTATGTATTTCTGCTGTCATCAAAAGCGGGCGGCTGTGGTTTAAATTTGATTGGTGCAAATCGACTTATAATGTTTGATCCGGATTGGAATCCAGCAAATGATGATCAGGCGATGGCTCGAGTGTGGAGAGATGGCCAGAAGAAAAATTGTTTTATTTATCGACTATTAGCGGTAAAATTTTGCCGAAATTTAATGTTTGCTCCATATATTGTTATATATGTGTATTTTTATGCTTCTCTATAATACTTAAATTTCGTACAAGAGCCACACTGCAATGTAATTTCTAGAATATTGGAAAAATAGGACAGGACTAGTCAGCAACTAATATAATTATTCGTTTGCTAAATATGTTTTAATTTTTCTATTTCTCTAAACAGTAACTATGCAGATAACAAAGATATATATTAAATTTGTAATCGCAAATTGGAATTTCTGTCATTAGAACAGAAAGACTTATATGGTTATTGATGTATACATTGGCAATCACAAGAATAATGAGGACTTAAACAGCTATTAAAAAATTTATAAATTTTTAGTTAAAATATAATAAACTCTTTTTATATGGTAAGAATTAGTAGTGAAAATGAAAATATGAATGAGTGAATGATGAGATTTGAAATGGACTGATTTGTACAGTGTGGAATGTGAAAATCCTGAACGAGTAGTGATATTATCACCATCAGTCGTCGAAATTCAAAATGTCCGTTAAGAAAAGAATGTTATTCGCAATGGGCAATTGAGAATTAGGCTTCCGTTTGGTCGAGAAAAAGATTAAGTTGATAAAATGAGTGCTGTTGCTGCTGCAGGTGATGTGGTAATTGTTGATATGAAAATTGCCATTACTGTTGTAGTTAGGTGAAATGTTTTAACTCTGGAATTTGATAAATTTTAACGCTTTGGAGAGATTTTTATATATGGAGTTATGCATTTCCCTAAATTACTTTGGAATTATTAGTTTGATTCTTTGTGGGAATTAAAATTAAAACTTTTTATACTGAAAAAAGAAATTTCGATAGGAGAGGAAAGAAATAGGCCATGAGCATTTGTTTAATCCAATTTATTGTATCTTATTCTTTCTTTAAAACTTCTTGTGATAAGTTTGAAATCTCATTACTTTAGCAGATTCCGACCAAATATCAGTCTTATCTGAAAGTAGTGCAATCAACGATAGTTGATTAGTTGAGAATAAGTAATAATGATAATGGTGATAGTGCGATAAACTTTGATTATATCTATTGGTTACTATATCTATTGGAGTGCGATAAACTTTGACTATACTATGAAGACTGTTATACTGAGAATTAATAAAGTTTATAAAGCTTTTAAACATAGAAAGCAGCTAAATGCAAATTAATAGAAATAAAAGAGTTTGAAACGGCTTGAAATAATGAACTGAATGGGGATGGGAGTACCGGATGATAGGACTGTCTAGTGTGGTGTTTCATAGTTCATTTTCGCAATTTTATGCTATTTTATTTTATATTATGAGTTTTTTTTTTGGAAAATTTTAGTTGATAACCTTGACTATAATGGAGCAAAATAACATTCTAAAGATTTTATCTACAGACTGGTAGCATCGAGGAAAAGATGTTTCAACGACAAGCGCATAAGAAAGCACTCTCGTCTTGTGTTGTTGATGAAATTTCGGATGTAGCACGGCACTTCAGCAAGGATCAACTGCGTCATTTGTTTGATTTGAAAACAGACATTGCATCAGACACGCATCAATCGTGAGTTCTCATTTTTGGTAATTGTTTTCATAAATTCCTAGTAAGATGATGTGACAAAATCTTTCTAGAACAAAAATTGTCCATGAATTATCAGAAAATATTCTGTATAACTGTTGTTAGAAATATCGATTCTAATATCTGATTGGATTGTTGTATCGAATCAAAAATTTATTCCTAGATTAAAATGTGATCGATGCGTAAATGGTATCGAATACAGAGAACCTCAGGAGCACGCTGATACGAACTCTGATCTCAGTGAGTGGTATCATGTTCAAAAAGACGTACGTAAAGTGCCGGACAAAGTAAGTTTTTTGAAATTTCTTGATGCATAATTCTCTGTCTATTTGTGCTCTTAAGGTATTGTTCATTAAAGTACCGTTATATTATAATTAGTTAGGTATTTGCATCAAAAAGTAAGAATTAATCGGATTTTATTTTTTTTAATCACTTCTTATCATCAATCGACATTAGTAATTGCAGGCTTAGTAATTGTTTCAGATACTGAAAAGGGTCTTTGATTGTGGAGCTATTACATTTGTTTTTCATCAGAAATCTCACGATGTAAGAAGCGAAACATTAAAAGAGGACGAAATTAAAGAGGATGATTTGTTGAATGGAGAGGGAGAGAACTGAGATTTTGCTTTATTAAATTTTTTTTTTCTTTGAATTTTTCATTCCTTGCCAATTTTTCACGCAGTTTATATACATTTTCATAAAATGGATACTGCACCGCATTACACAGATTTCGACATTAGTATATTCGAAGTTAGATCGCTAAATAAATTTTTGGAATATTCGAAGCTAGCTTTTTTCCACTTCAGACCCATGTATAACTGTATTATAAAATGTATATATGTGTGTGTATGTGTTGTGTGTGTGTGCACATGTGTATATTTATTTGAATGAAATTATTAAGAGAATCAGATATTTATTAAACGCCAAATATAGGCAAAAAAAAACTATGAGCTTCTCTATATACCGGAAAAGAAAAAGCATGAATTCAATAGCGATGAAATATTGATTGGATTATTCACCGAGAACGGACAAAAAACCATGAAGATGAAAAAAGAATCGAATATAATTCAAAATGATGAATATATTAAACGATTTGGGGAATTACTATTAGATATCATCATCATGAAGGAATAAATGAAATGAAGAGTATTAACATCCACGAAAATAGTGTTTTCAGTGCATCGATGAATGAAATTGCAAGAAGATAGCTGCTAATATGAACACAGAGTTAAATGCACTGAAACTGTTCATGCTTCTTTCTATGAAGTAATAATTGAAGTAAATTAAACCTGATATGGAATAGTTGCAATCATCGGAGAGGATTTGCGTAAAATAAATAGTGGTTTTAACAATATTTCTTTCATCTTTTCAATTATCACATTTAAAAATTATGCAAAAAAAAAGCATTAGGCTACTGATTTTTGGATGAAAAAAAACAGCTAACAACACTGAATGCTCGATAATGCTCAATAAATACTAAATTTGTTGAACACTAACTCGTAGAAATCTCCGGTATTCCGGAAATAGAAATTTTCGCTGAATTGGCATAAATTTCATTGAATGGATAAATAAATGTTGGCTCTGTTGTTATTGACGATGGCAAAGACATGAAATCATTTGGAAACAAAGGGTAATAATTTACAGAGATTGTATCATTAATTCAGACCACAGTTCAAATAACAAAAATATTAATTAAAGGGCTTGCATAATTAATGCGAGACCTTTAATTAATATTTTTGTTTTTTGAAGGGCTAACAAAAATTTCCTTACTTCAGTTCACCAAAATAGTTCGATTTTTCGGAGAATTTTAATACTATTAAGGGTTTTTGAAATTTTTCGATATTGGCATTCAAATGCAATTTAAAGCAACAATTTTCATTCTTTTATTTCTTAAGGCACGCTTCCTTGTATTTGAAATATACATGATTATATTATGAAACTTTGACCTTTGTTTCACCTTGGTTTGTTTATTGATTTAAACTAAGATATGAATAGTAAGATGAACTGAATCAGAAATAGAACAAGGTTCAGTCATTTCAGTGCTAAATTTGAAAATCAATTTTGTTCAAAAAATTATTGGCTACATTGCCATGAACGATAGGTCATACAGAATGCTAATAATGACAACATTTGTTGTGATCTCATTAAATGATATCAACTGAGATTGTTTACTACTCAGCTGCATGTAATATCTTCACGGTATTCTTTTAATTTTTCATTTTTGAAAAAACTGAAGTGAAAATTTAAAGATATTTGAGGGCCGAATAGAGACGATACGATACGGTTCATTTCTCAGAATACAATTGTTACTTTCACTGAGAGAAATATATCTCTCAATGAAAGTAACAAAGAAATTTCATATATTTCTTATGCAAATGCACTGATAATTTTTGGAATAACAATAGCGCACGAGTAGTATTTTAAATTTTGTTTCTGGTTTTGAATTGATCTTTTGGAGATAGATGGTATGAAAAGTTCAAAAATAATTATTCCGGGAGTCATTATCAAAAAAAGCAATTCCTTTGCAAGTATTGAGATTTAACTGATATAATGCTAAAAGGGAGCCTGAAAAGGGTTCCTTGGAAAGTGATATAAAATCTAATCATTTCTAATATGTTGTAAATATAAGCGTGGAAAAATTCGACTAATGCAACGAAGAGAGAGAGAAAAAAACAGGAAGAAGCTAGAACTGGATGGCTAAATAAACTTTCATATTAGTTCGCATTTCTCTATTTTGCTTTCTGAACATATTAGCTACGAGACAATACGTGAACCCTCCTACACATCACATAATAATGGAAGTGTTACAATAATTGACCAACTCAAAAAATAGCAGAAAATATCGAAGATGAAATCTTATTAATAATAATGTACTGTTAAGATGATCAGCTAGAAAAATTCATGATAACAGTGATTTTAACATTAAGCTAAACAGTATAATTTTACTAATTATTTGTATATGTGGTGATACTGCTTACATACCGTATCATTCTCTTTCCATAATTCACAAAAAGTGAATAAAAAAAGCACGATGTGATAATGTAAGTTATAAGTGTTGAAATCATAGTTGTAAATACTCTCGTGTGCTTAATGACCATGTTCAGAATTCCAGAAAGACAGCACAATTTTCATCATGATCCTGTCATCATCGAATAAACCAATAGCATGGTGCCCTACTGAGGTTATATCCACGGGCATTTCAGTATGTGTGTTGATCTGTATGTCTGCATCGGTGTCTGTCTATTCTGTGCGTGTTTATACGCGTGTGTGTGTGTGTGTGTGCATGCGTGTATGCGTGCATGTCTGTGTGTCGCTTGCAAACTGATTTGTGGTTTTGGGGGCGGTTTGGTCAATTCCTCGATGTAGCAGTTTTTTTTTTTTCTTTTGATCGAAATATTTTCCTCGGGTTTACAATAGTTATTGAAGAATTAGTAATGTGAATGTATGCAGAATAGATCATTATATTATCACATCATTGAGAGTTACAGTATTATAAATGTGTGATGAAAGCGAACCATTTATTGGGGGTCGTCCGATCTCGGAGATGAAAGTGGTGGAGCTAAAAGAAGAGTTGGGAAAGCGAGGATTATCTAAAATCGGCAACAAGAACGCTCTTTATGAACGACTCAAGGAGGTTAACTTTTCCTTTGAAATTACTTCCCTTTTGTGAATAATATTTGATGGAATGCAAACATTATGTGATATCCTCGTCCCGTAACCACTTTTGTGTCTTAATCAATAGGCATCGGACATCTTTCGCTGTTTCTGATGATAATTTAATTTCCTTGATTTTCGAGTGACTGGATTTCATTTTCTAATTGATGTCCTAATAGTTTTATGTAATTTTGATGGTGATCTTTCCACGATTCTAAGGGACCTGACATCTTCCGAATGTAGCATATTTTTAGGATATATATTCAGTTGTTAATTGAAGGAAAGCAATAACACATTAAGCTCTTCCGCCGATGATGTACTGTTAATTCAAAAAAATTGCCAAAACTTTATTGCTGTAGCTAAAGCACAGCGAAGTGTCCATTCCTGTTAATCATATAATTTAAACGACTTTTGTTTCTCAAAATATTATAAAACCAGCTATAATATTTGCAGTTTAATTCTTCTCGTTCTCAGCCTCACTGTTTTCTAAATATTTACTTTTACCTTATTTGTTATCTTCTACACACTCTATTATTTTTTGACTTCTCTTCCTTGTCTTTTGCGTATAACTTCCCAAAAATTTCAGTACTTGTTGACAGAGGTAAATGCAAAATGTGAGAGCGAGGTGCAATCAACAGCCGTAGAAAGTCCACAAAGGGATTTGGTAAGTAAATTTCCAGTCGTAATAGAATATTTCGAGAAGTCTCTTCTAAATGACTTACTTTAATTTTATTGCAGACTTCACCACCCAATCCACTTGTTGCGGAATATTTAGCCAAACAACAGACTGCTTTACGTGAAGCACGTAAAGATGCAGGTTTGTTATTTTCAAGTGCTTAATTTGATGTATGATGTTTCGTATTGAACAATAATGTATTAAACAAGGGAGTAGGTGACATCAATTAGATGGACATAATTTTCAGAAGCAGTTCGCAGAGTTTCTTCTGGAGATGATTCATCACCAATACGCGAGAAATCGATTTCAGCTATGCGTCGTTCTCGACGTGGACGTAGTACAGCAACTGTTGTTGAGAAACCTGCAGAATCCGTAGTAACTAGCGAAACTGAACAGGTCTTGACTTACAATATAATATGCATTTTTTTAGTTTGTTGCCGTTTAGCAATCAGCGTAGGAGAGAGTAATGAGTGAATTAAATGAGCTTTCATACGGCAGGACAGACGATAATTTTAAGTTAAGCATTTTCACTTCGTAATTCTTTTTAAAGGATCCGATGGAAGCGGATAGTTTCCAGGAGGGTGTGGAAGTGCAGCCGAAAATCCATAACATTGAAGAAACTGAAAATGACGGCGGTGCTTCATTTGAAATTTTAAAGAAGGAAACAAACGTTAGCGTTGATTCCGTTTCGACGGCAATAAAGATGAAGATATCCGAAGAAACCGAACGGACAGAAGCAGAATATGATGAAACGAGACTAATGAGCGATCAGCAGTTAGTGGATGTCGAAGAGAGATATCCAGCAGATACTAAGCATGTAAGCGAATTACAAAAGAAACGTGAAGACAAAGATGAAGAAGAAGACGCTGTGTCGGATGTGGCTAGCAGTGATACAGGCACAGCAAGGTTTTTTATTATCATTTCTTGATATACGGAGGTCACAAGACTTTTAACAACTAAAATTTTATAGGAAAGTATACAAAAATCATTTGTATGCTGTGGAATGAAATTCATTTGTTTTTGATGAGGTTGCAGGCCGAATTTTTAGTTCGCGATATTAGCTTATATAGTTATTTATGAGAATTTACGATTTTTTTAGCCAAAGTCGAAGTGAGGCAGCAGATGAGTCAAATGCGTCTTGGGAACAGCCCGTAGATCTGGAAGAATTATCAAACCAAGAAGTGGTAAGTTGGAAAATTAGTTACGTTTAAGAGAATGATAAGACGAGTAAAGAAGTTTTGAAAAGCCATTAAATTACTTCTATTATTTGTCATTATGTATGTATTTCAGTATTTGCTGTTGATCCCTGTTTAAAGACAGTTTGAAGTATAGGGAAATTCGCCAATAAGCTGTTGTCAGTTGCAGAGAGAGCATGGAAGCATGTAATTAAAACTGAAAACCATTTCCTTTGCTGATTTGATTCTTCGTTATTTATGGTTTAACATTTATAGATGGAAGCAGCTGACGATGCATCAGAAGAGAAGATTTTAGAACGCACAAAGAGGACTTCAACAATGCAAAGTAAAAGCACGTTTTTTCTATACTTTCTGAAATGCTCTAAAAATATTGATAGTTATGCATTGATTTCTTGTAAATGGTGTGTAATTGCGTTATTGATAATGTATATTGTGTCAGAAATTGGTGTAATCTCTTGAGCTATACTCTGAGATTTTTATCTAATTTCCGAGTATCCTCGCATTATCACCCTGTTGTTATCTGTAGTTTATGTACCGTCTTAATACTCTCCATTTTAGCAAAAACAACTCTTACTCAAGAGAAGAAACGTCGTTGGAAACCATCTGAAGCAGCGCATTCTGCAAACAGTGTCGTCACTGTTTCAGTCACAAAACATAAGGAAGAAGAAATCGAAATAGATGAGCAGGAGGATATTCCTGATACCCATGCTTCTGCCATATCCGATTTCAAAGAAGAGTTATCCGACACAAAAGATAAAATGGAAGAGCTAGATTACGAAGAACCAGTGCAAAGTTCAGTTGCCGAAGTAGCTGAAGAAGTTAAAGTAACGAATAAATTTTATTTAAGAGTTTTTATTGCAAAATTTTTCATGAAGCTTTCCTCACAAGCCGGTTATATTAAGAAGTCATTTACGCAGCGATGGTGACAAGTGTATCTGACGGGAGCTTATTGCAGGCTGCTGTGGAAGTGTCTGAAAGACGCAAAGAGAGAACATTTGAAAGGGATGACAAGTACACGAAACGCTCAGGTTCGTATATTTCAGATATGGATCCTTGTCACTTGGTGAATCTTATTAGTCAAAACTTATTGATTGATAAAAATAACCTAAGTGGCTTGTATGAACTAGTCATTACGGTTGTTTGGTGGAGCTGAATATAGCAAACTTGCTAGGTGACAACATGAAGGAGCAAAACTATTTAAGAAATCTTGCTGTTTATAAAATTAGGGATTTACAGCATTAATAGCTAAAATGGGCTGGCGTGAAAGTTCTGACTATCGGCTTTTGATGAATATGTCTGTATGATTATATAAAACATTAAGTTGCATTATCAATTGTTAGATTGATTTTGTTGGTACTCACGTTGTTGTTAATTAACTTTTCCCAAAGTCCTAAAATTTTGCGAGGTCATTTTTAGTGAGTTAATTATGAATCCTTGTTTCGCTTCAAATTACGATTGATATCTAATTCTCATGTTTTTCCATTAATTCTATTCAATATTTTAGATGCAACCTAATTTGAAAGGATTAAATTTAGTGTTGGTGTTTGCTGCTTGCATTTAGATATCAATGATTAGTTTTCAGAAATGCTAAATTTGCAGGGATATCATATGTATCTAAGCGTTCACCGACTCCGGATAAACAACTAGAGAGCCACACAACAGTGGATGGCTTCGTGCGTGAACGAAGAGTATCACCAGCGCGATATCCAGTTAATCAGGTTAGTTCTTTAATGATCAAATCATTATGTAGCTGAACGGAAATTATCATTGTATGCACGAATTTACAGGCCTTTTTCCTTTTGAACTATATTTTGTCACTTTTTTAAACTGTCGAAACTTCTTCATTGTAAAAGTTTGTTTTTTTTTTTGATTTCTTACTTGAGGTAATTTTTACAGTATGACCGTTTGTTATTAATAGCACAACAGGTTGTTAAATCATTTTTAATTTACATAGCTTTATAAAAGAAAAATTGCGCCCAACTTATGCACTTTCAGGTGATAATGATAAGACAACTTACTCGCCCCTATACTGTTAAACAATTGCAGCAGCTACTTTCAACATTCGGCACAATAGTTGAAGGAGGTTTTTGGATCGATAATATCAAATCCACATGCATTGCAAAAGTGATTTTTTAATAATTTAAATGTAATATAAAAATATAGCATTTTTTACTATGCTTACTCGTAACTATTATTATATAATATAATGGTTTGTTTACAGTACTCAACTGTGGAAGAAGCTATTGTGGCTCGGGGACGTCTTCATAATGTTATATGGCCACCATGCAGTCCAAAAACTTTGAAAATAGACTATTCGGATGATGCGAATGTAAAATTATCCATTTTTTATATTTAAATTTGTGGTAATGTGGATTTTTTGTAAATCTATTGTGAATCTTTATTTCAGCTTGCCAAGCATCTTGTTGCTGATCAATCACAAAATGATGAAATAATAAAACCAAACACAGAAACAGCAAAATCACCTTCTGGAAGCTCAGCTCCGACTCTGCGTGTATCATTATCTGTTGATGAAAAACGGCATGTACTGCCAACCAGTCAGGATGAGTTAGCAAAGGATTTGGATAAAAGAGAAGGACGCGGACATGTACATCGAGGACGAAAGCGCTCGGCTTCACCATTAGGAGTATTTCTTAAATTCATATATTTTAAGAATTTTTCATTCAAATTTCTTATCTGCATTGGGTCATTCTTGTATTCTTGTTTTGTATCCGATAGGTTCATGTCTTATAGAGAAATTTGACAGTTGATATCAAAGTGTTCTTTTCATTATTTTTATAAAATTCTAATTCATAGCATTCGGAGGCAAAACGGACGCGCGAACAGAGATCTCCATGGAAGGATGAACGTCGTCGTACTACTGCTTCACCTGACTTAAAACCGAACGGTTAGTTTTTGCAATTCCCTGCTATTTCGATATTAATGCAAATGAAATGTTAGTAATTCTTATTTAAAGCTTTCCATCATTTGTAGATCCGGAGAAGCGTATTAAAACGGCGGACGAATTATTTTTGAAGACAAAAACTCAGCCGGCTGTGTATTATCTACCACTCACTGAAGAACAGGTTGATTTATTTTAATACGGTTTCAAATAAAAAGTAATTTTTACATGCAGATTTTTTGCCAGGGAGCGTATCTGCACACCGAATTGGTCTTGTTACATATTTTATTATATCGTATCATTCCTTAATACTTGCACAATTGGTTCTGCTCGAGTAGGCTGTCGTTGATGAGAATTATGCAATTGTTTTTCACTATATCGCTAGTTTAGATTATTGAACGCAACAAGCGGAAAGCTATAGAAGCGGAACTGGCGAAGAAAGTTGCCCAAAATGGGACCGCAAAGCGAAAGGAGAAGGATGAGCCAGTGAAAGAAAAAACTAACACAAGTAAACGTGTCGGTGCTAGATCTTCTCCTTCACGTCGACGCTCACACACCCCACCATCCCGCCGACGATCACATACTCCCGGGGGGCAACGTGATCGGCGACGTTCCAGATCCCGATCACCACGCCGCCGTCGTTAGGTCGTCGCGCCCTGTAAGGTGACAAATGATGCAGCCAGTATTTTAAATTTTCTAATCTTTTTTCTTTGCCCTTTGATTCACTTTATAAGACTTCTAACTCCCATTTCGAAGCTTTTTTTGGTTTATAGTTGCCTAAACCGCCCTTTATCTTCATGTTCTGAAAATCTGGTCCCTACTTGCTCAAAATTTCGATAATTTCGCTGCGCATCTAGTCTACCTTCTCTTCCTTTACTACAGTGTTTTCCTTTCCCCATCCTTAACGCCTCTTGTATCTTATGTATCTTTTACTTATATAGCTCCTTATTTAAGGTACAAAATTCCCTCTTCCTTTTATTTTTGTTGAAATTGCTCGTCAGGCCTTCAGAAATCGCTGCAGTTAATATTTGCGGAACAAGCACAGGATTGAACAGCAGAAATGGAGGGATGTCGTGAGCAAACTGTGAGACGCGGTCTCATCGCAGCATCTGAAGTCACTATCGAATGCGCAGGAAAAAATGATTTCAGCCTGGTTCAACAGTGAAATATAGTTGTAAAGTCCCAACGTTCTCAATACAGTGATGCCAAAAGGCAAAGACGTTGCTAAAGCATTGATTTGCTTTAAACAATAATTACTACTGGATTCATTGGGCATAAATATATTATGTATTGGGCGTCGCTCATTCTGCTTCACGTGTTGTTGGTACGGCTCCACATATCATTATTAAACGTATGGTCCTCTTAGTTTATTTCTAATAAAGATATTTTTGTGCTACGACATATTTTTTAAAAAAAAACTATTAAAATTCTACATTTCACAATATCGTGTTTCATAGTATTTCTGCTTCATGATAGTTTACAAATAATGAATTCGGTTATCCTACATTCGTAGCAATGCAATCCCTCCTATCGAGCAAGTATCATTAAAGTTTGATGTATGCGAGTCAGAACGTCTTCAGATTAAAACAAAAGTACCTTTTTTTTATCGTAGCATATATTCCTGCTAGATCATTGTCATCGTATGATCTTATCCTCATGTTAATCATTTTTAGAAATACAAACTCAGTGAAAAATACAGAGTGAAGGAAAAATGCATAATAACATATTGACTAATCATCATACTGAGCCAATAACATATGTCTTGTCATAAGTATATCAAAACTGTAACACTAAAATATTTAGTCTGAGTTCATATCGATGAAGGGAATAGACGATTATCATGTACGTTTTTAACGACTTTCGAAAAGATTCAAGTATTGAATCATTCTTCCATAATTCGTCGGCTGATGTTATTATTCTCAATAATTAAAAATTTGTTGAACCTGTTAATATATTATACCTAATTTTAGCCTATCACATAATACTAGTAACCTGAAGACGATGATGACCATCTTGTTATTTCCGAATATTTGAAAATAGTACCACGCACGCATTTTCTTTGTTTCCATTTCATATAACTTAGGGTTTTCAATACTTAAATCATATATAGTCCTCAATTACTTGTTTCACTAAAAGATTTCAAGTTAGAAGAAAAATTGAAAATCATTTTAGTGGATTTCATTAGACATTACAAAGGATTTTGCTATGTTTATATTGTTTGTCGGGTTCATCCAAAAAATCTCATCACAGGTTTAAAATTTGACGGTTTGTATTAGCTGATCAAAATTTATTGATCCAATTTACTGAAACGTCAAAGATAAATTGAGAAGTTGAAGTCATCGGCTACCGATTGTTAAATGCGAAAAGATTTTCTCCAATTCTAAATTTTCAAGATGCTCTTCTTTCAAACGATTTTCTATAGGAAGAGCAAAATTTTGTTGATATAAGATGTCAAAAAAATAATCGTTGAAAAGTTTAAACTTTAAAAAGTTTTTTTGAAAGAGAATAGCTTTATAAATTAATAAAAGTTAGGACTGTTTATTATATTATCTATTAACGCAAATATGATTTTTCAATTCCTCGACTGCTTCACGCGCATGTTCAGCATCCTGAAGTATGAATTTCGATAAGATAGATTCGGCCGCGGGTTTTGTTAGATTGGGACCGTTGAAATCCAAACAGATGATGTAATCAACGATCGTTTTTTGTGGATCTTCTGGATGAATTCGGAAACGACCACTGCCAAGAAGTAAATTACCTCTGAAGTATGGTAAAGTTTTAAAATTCAATGACAGACAGGGGAACATATCACTAGTGAATCTTTAAAATTATCACTACTGCTGCAGGTTACATTACATTGGTTACTTAATCAAATTTTCTCATATTACCAATAAATCCCTCCAATTACTGTCATCAATCATCTCACCTCGTTTTCGTCTTATATCGTTTCACTTCATCAGTATCATAACTTCGGGCTGCTTCAATGATATCACCATTAATATATCGATAGATGCGTGTAGTCACGAAATCTCGACCCTTCATCAAACCGGAATCCTTCATTGCATACTACAAAAGCAATAGGTCGATAATATATATTTAAGCACAGCGCATCTTTTTTTTCGATGCACCCTCCCATGTTGAAGATAATAATTTCAGGAATGACAATAACAATAATATATTTCAGATTCAAAAAGCTTTTTTTTAATATTCACATGATAGAGTACAGTGCATATATTACTGATGTAAGTGTGTTTCTGATGCACGTTCATCATTTACCTTATGTCGTTCATAAATGTAACAAAAAAGGATGGAGATTTACAGATTACGTGAATAATTTCGACGTGAGGCGTAAGGATAACAATTTTTTCAGCTAATGATGTGTTTTTATTCCTATACGCTGCTTCTTCGAAATTATTCCAGTGCTCGACGAAAAGCTTTTCACGTGGTATATCCAAAGTAGTCTGGAAATTTTTTTATTTAAATTATATCGATCACAATAAAGTTATAAATTTAGTAACAGTTCAATGATGTACCTATAAAATTAAAAAAAAAAAAGTAGAAATAGAAAAAACAAAAAGCGAACCCGAAGTGTAAAAATTTTGCCTATTGCAAATCTTTTTGCATATATTTTATCCACTTTATTTTCATTTTTCAACTTCCAACCTTCCATTGTTTCAAATTCGGGCGTATTTATAACATTTAACGTTTCAATCATTGCATTTGCCGCATCATTTAATGCTTTTTCATACTGCAATTGTAAAAAAAGTTTCTTTTTTATGCACCATGTTAAGTTATAATTTTGTTACAGAAATAAATTTGACATATGTAAATATATTCAATGACCTTTTATTCTATGCATTTTACATTTCCTTAGTTCTATTCATAAGTAAAAGTAAAGGATATACCGAATAGATTTAATTTATATATAATATTAAAATCGAAAATTACTCATACATGTACTATGAAAACCGTATTTACTCATATACTTGTTTTACGAAAACTGTAACTTTCATAGTAATACACTGAATATATGAAAACGAATAATACGGAAAAAAAAATGAATACAGTATTTTGTAAAGATCAAAATGAACAGGCCTTTTTGTGTTCCGGTTTAAGGGTATCAGTAACACCAGCAATTGTAATGGAAATAGTCATTATTATCCGTTCTATCTGTAACAAATAATAATAGTATGATTAATTTGTTGGATCGCCATTGGAAGTATTTACAATTTCTCGAAATCTTTTATTAATGAAAATTAGTGATAGATTTTAGACTTTCTAACATTTAAACACACATCTTCAAAACTATTAAATATAGTTTTTTCAATAGTTTTGAAGATGTGTGTTTAAATGTTTTTTAAAAAATAAATAAAATACCCTTTACTCTGTCTTCCGAATTCGAGGAACCTGTATAAAGTTTTTCTGCAAACCAAAAAAGAAAAATTCAACAAATCGTGAAAGAATGACAAAGTTAGTTAATTGGTCTGTCTCTCAAATCAAATATGATATGATGTGAAGGTTGAACTAAAGAACGGTTCGGTGAAGATGATCACGCGATACATTTATGCTATACAACCAGTGATTTATACTATAATAAGTTAATTATCAGTGTTTAATTATCAGCAGATTGCAAAGTATGATCTCTCAAATATTTCTTGCAATAATTTAATGCAAGATTTCGATTGATTGTGAAATTATCGAGGATTTCAGGATCGGTTATTAGCGAAAACTGTAAATATTTTAGAAAACATATGTATCATTATAAATGATCTTTCATAAAATCAACAGACATTTGATAATATTGGTGTATATAAAGGAAAAAGTGTCATTGTCCTTATTTTGTTTTAAGTACAACAATACAGGAACAACGACATTTCCTTCTATTTTTTTTGTACTTAACTTTTCCAGAAAAGAAAATGTGAATGGTATCGTTGAAGTATAGCGGAGATTAATATCAAAAAAAAAATGCTATCATTGAATTGATAAAAAGAGCAAGCAATGATTTTGATTTATTATTTCGGAGTTTATTTATTGTTTGTAAATTAAAAAATGATAAATTTTATATTATAATTATTATCAAAAAAAAGAATGAATGATTTAGAAGGAAAGGGATAAGAAAATAAGAGGAAATTTTGTAATAATTTAGAAAAAGTGTCCTGATGGAAATTAGGAAGTCGAGAATGAAATGACAAATTGAACATATTTCATCGTTTGCTTTTTTTTTTTCTTATTTAATAAGAAATTTTTGAACTGGAATTTTTCTCTCGTTTAATATATACGCAGTTATGGAGAATTTTTTTCTATTTAACAAGTTTCTTTTCGGTAAAAGAATCAGGTTACTTGTCCCCTGATCGTACCGCTATCACAAAATGCAGATATCAGAGGTAGTGGTGAGGTAGTGCTGATGGTGTATTTTTGTAATGTCAATGCATGTGTATATATATGTCTCTGTGTATGTCTATGTGTGTGTATGTGTATGTGTGTTTGTGTATGTGTGTGTATGTGTGTGTATGTGAACATTTTTTTTTTTAATTTATCGTATGAACATTTTAAATTTAATTATAATTAATGCATCGACGTACTTCAATATTTCCTCACTGAATTTTGCTTATCATACGTTTTCATCATAGCTGTTTGCATTTGTTATAAGACCAGATTGTCGTTCAATCGAATTAATTTAAAAAAAAAAAAAGAAAATTAAAGAAAATAATTGTGCGATAGAATGAAGATGAATAGATTTAGATTTTTGTAATTGAATCACTTCGTGGACAAATTTAATAATTTTATGAGGCATTATGAAAATACTATCATTTGAGAAGTTCTAAAGAATGAAGTTTGACTTTATGACCGAAAGAGTGAACAGTTTGTAAAATTGTTTACCATGCATAGTTGAATGTGGCGGTAAATTGAACAGGTAATAATTTATTTGAATTAAAATATAAATCATTTATAAATACATCGATTTATGTACCGCAAAAATCCTACAGATGCAACCGTAAGTTGAAATGATTTTATCGATCTAGAAATGGATTTCAGACACAATTTATTTCATTGATTCTCGGATTCAACTTTGGACAAACATCTTTTAGTTTCAACCGTTAATTTAGGCTCAGTTAATTTCATAGCAACGAAAATACGAAATTACGCTCTCGATCTTCATCCCATTTTTGTTGCATTTCAAATTTACCACGTAATTCCTCCCATCGTTGACGCCTTCTGCAACAAATCTCCATTTTATTATACTCTTACAAAAAGCAGTCATACATTCTTCCACTAAAACAAAGTAATAGTTTCATGAACTCTCGGGAATGACAATAATCACATATTCTTTTACAGAAAGTGACCATAAACTCTTCTGAAATTCACTGTTTAACATACAGTAACTGTTTGTGAGCTTCGAATTCCGGATCGGTCTCGGAATCGGATTCGCTAACGTCGGACGTATATCGATCAGCTCGGAAAGCAAATGGTGTCAGCGAACGGTGATAACCGGATGATGATGGACCGCAGTCAGACCACGATGACTCATCACTACTGAAATTAATTAGATGAGAAAAAAATGATTCAATCCTCTTCTATTTCAGGATTGAGATTTAATAGGCATCCGGAAATGCTCTCAGCACTACCTTTACCTGCAGGTATCCTGATACTTCTTTGGCAACGATCGATCTATCTTTTTACAGTTGCATTCTGATATTTTCCGCAATTTTGCAGATTTTTTACGGCGTGCTTTTCCGCTTTCCTTTTCTAACTTCCGTTTTAATGATGAGCTTACTTTCTTCAAATGCATAAAATTGCAAAATCCACCACGATTACATTCCCTGCAACATATCCGTCCATGATCACTATATTATCATTAAACTTTTCCAATCCATTTACAATTTACAAGTAAATGATTAAGCGTAACCCGTTTTCATACTGTCGGCAGCATGCATCACGGAAATCGGAAACCGGTGATAGTTCACAATGAATAGGTTTCCCATCGAACCATCTATTGTTCAAGGCTTTCACTGCATTACTTGCATTCGACTCATATAGAAACTGAATTTAATGTTCAAAATGAATTTTGAACTTTTATTACTTTTAAACATTCAAGTCATTCGTATTATTTACAAACAAACAGGTGTAATTTGTAATTCTTACGTTGAATTTAAAATATCTCTTGCTTTTTTACCACATCATGATTAGATTCAGAATTGATTATTACTTTACTTAACGAACAATGCAATAATATTACACGTTTTCAATTATTGGAATCTGTCATATTATTTGACCCACTTTAACGTAAACATTGCCAAGCATATGTTCACCCGCATTATCACATACATTCATTTCCTCAATTTCACCGTATTCTTTATCAATTTCTAAATATACTTCACGGAAAAATTCGTCAAATTCACGTTGTTCTTTTTCTTTTGGAAGATCTAAAAAAGATAATATTTAAAATATCTTCCATTCTCAAACCATAAAGATAACAAATTAAATCCTCACTATCATTTCCTACCTATCAATCCATCTTTGCAGGACAATGTTCAGCAATTTCTTATCCAATCCTCACTTCAGTAATGTCATTACTACTTTGATAAAATATGCAACATACCTTGTCCAATAATACCACCAAAATGATAGAAATTTTTCAATAAAATTGTCTGAAATCATTTGAAATTATTAATTTCGACTTTCTAAAATTGATATTTTGATCTGTTTACTATAGATGAAAAAAATAAGGTGCACAATTTAAATGATACCTACCTTACTAAAAGTTGGTCGTATATGAAGCCTAGAACATTTATCACCGTGTCGGCATGCACCAATTTTCAGATAAAATGAACAATTTGCCCTACAAAAGTTAATAACATTTCAGTAAATTTCCAGTCAAAAAAAAAGTTCTCTAAAATTTTAAAATATTCTAATTTCGAAGCCATTTGCTACAGCGCTAAAAAGATCATTTTAAGGGATCACGGAGGTTCCAAAATGTTTTTTCTTCACTAAAACACTTCATTTGTTTGCCAATTGAATTGGATTTGAGGAGATGATAGTTGTAACAATAAAGTTCGAATTTTCATACTTCAGAATGACTTAGATTAAATTGTAATCAAATACTTAATGCGAAGATAATATCATAATATCAAATGAGAATGAGGAATAAACAAGTTGTTGGCTGCAAGTTATATTATTGAATATTAACTTTCTTCGTTGGAATTCTAAGTAAGTTAGAAATGAATTATTAATATTAAAATTTCATTTTTTTTTAAATACAAAATTCATGGATCGCAAGTTATAACATTCGAGAAAATTCCTTTAACTAGTAATGTTAAAAAGAAAAATGGATGCGTGTTTGATGGAGCAAAAAAAATAAAAACTTTATCAAAAGAGAAACAATTTGTTTAGTAATACAATTTCAACAGCATTTGAATAAAAAGTAAATTTGGAAAAATGAGAAAAGTTTTCAAAGGCAGAATTTTTACTAAAATAAAATAATACATCGAAAATTGTTGATTCAGTCAAAACAACAATCTACAACTAATGAAAATTGTAAAAAAGTTTTTCCTCCTTCTCATTGTTTTTGCCCTCAATAAATATTATGACGTCGCGAAAATGTTTGCTAATGGGAGGAATAATTAGCTTAAATAATTATTCTTCAATCTTAAAATAGTTGAGAGAATATAGAAAGGAATGATGAAATCAATACAAACAATTATTTCATTGAACTATTTCACTTTAAATCATTAAAATTTGAAAAATTTTAAACAGAGAAAATGATAAAGAAATTAATTGGGAGAAAGAAAAGGTGACAGGGAATATCTTTAACAATTAGGAAAAAAAAGTTAAGCGCAAATTGGAACAGACCTGATTTGTTGAGTGCTCGATTCGGCTTCCACCAATTCATCATTGCAACATTCGTCGAGCATGCGATTTTACACCAAATAATCATCAAAAAGCTGTCTCATCGCTTTATCATTGTAGGAAATTATCAAAAATATTAAAAATGATGTTGAACCACAAAATGACAATACAGCAAAACTCTTTAACCTAAAAATCATTACGTATTATCTTTTAATCAGTAGACAAACAAAAAGGATCCACATTTTAAATTATTTCAATTCAAGTATTATGCTAATGAAAGCACAAATTGTTACAGCATTAATAAGGATTAAAGGACTGAATTGATTTTTTTTTAGAAAAAAGTCGATCATAGAATAATATGCGATTTAATTTTTTTGCAAAAAAATACTTTCATGGTTTTAACCATCCACAACCTAATAATCATGCAAAAAATAGCAGTAAAACGGCTCATTGATAAAAATAATGATAAGAGATCAAAAGGAAAATTTCGCATGATTGATTCCATTAAAAGTACATTTTTGGAATGAAATTTTAAAAAAAAATATTTTTAAGAGGTTTTCTTTTTTTTTTAAAAAAAGAATTGTTTTTGAGACGTATTTTCTGAATCAGATGCGAAATTTAATTCTGATGCTGCAATTTTCCAAAATTGACCTTAACTGCTGCTGAAAATAAGAAAGAGATTTTATCACGTATCTGAAGCTCGAGAAAAGTTTTGAAAAATTAATAAGAAACTTTTAGTAGAAATCTAGGCATTCTGTAATCCGCGGTGCACAGCGCTCGTTAATTCGAGTTTGGAAGAAAAATTTAAATGTACGAGATTTGTGCTCGAAATTAACTTTTTAATGCAAAAATATTTAAATAATAAAAGTAAATTTGTATTGCAGGAATTCATAAAAATAGTCTATCTCAAATATTGCAATAAATAGTTTATTGCCAGTTAACTTGTTTTATTCATCAAATTCCCTGAATTACAAGATTAATTATTGTATTGTCGTTTAATTTAGATTGTCTCCTGATTTATGATTTAAAGAAAACTGTTTCATTTATCAATAAAGGATCAGTTGTTCAATACTTGATCAATTCCTTGCTTACCATGAATTTCATATGTGAAATGATCAGGAAATGATTTGTTTGTCTACTTCATTAATCTTTGATTTCTAAAGAAATATAAGCATGCGCTCTAAGTTGTTGAAAGCGTCTCGAAGATGTTGCAATGTCATACTACAATAATACCATCTAAATCTGATCGAAACTCTTCTCAACTTTTACTTCAATAAACAATCCCAATTATATCCTCTGAAATCGACAACAAAAGAAAAACAACCCTAATCGACTCTGTTATCGACAATTTTTGACAATTCTATTATAATGTTTAAACAAATAAACTTCTCAGTCAAATAATTAAGCGCTCGCTACTATTCTCCTGCCCTTTACTAAAACTTCTTTTAAAAAAGTAATCCCACATTAACAAAAAGTTCACAACATTTTGGTGCCACAAGTTGGAAACTGAACCCATCAAAGCGAAAATCGAGAAAGCGGAAATCCTTAATTCTTTATTAATGCATTAAAGAAACTAAACTTATCGTCACAAATCCACAATCAAAGGAAGCACTGCGATGTGAATATGTAATCAGAAGGAGAAAATAATGCGCCTTGAACTTATATAAGCTCAGTCGAAGCAGCAAATCAGACAGGTTGGGCTAATCTGATTAAAGAAAAATTAGATAAATGGAACTCCTACTACAATGGATAATAAAACTATGGAGATCAGTCAAAAAGTCAATTGGAAAACTTAGAGTTAAAAGAGATTAGCAGGCATTCAATATATATCTCAGGTATAATCGAATCATAGAACTTCTCATATTACAAAAACATGAACTATGCTCGAGCTATTTGGGATGACTCGTAAATTTTGATTATCAAAGAGAAAAACAGAAATCAAATGAGTCATGGCATATAAAAGGGCCTAATCTTCCAGAAATCCGAATCAAACGCTTAGTATATATATATAAAAGGGCCTAATCTTCCAGAAATCCGAATCAAACGCTCAAATTGGATTGGACTGACTATCTTGGTCCTCTTTTAATCATAAGCGATGCAAAAATGCTACTTCACTTTAGGCAAAATCAATAACTACCAGCCTTGGATGAGAGTAGACTTTAGGCCAGACTATTCATACTCCTTCTCTAAATCGATTTTGCGATCTCCAAGCTCTCTCTGTCAATGAAAGAGCTTGTTAAATAGCCTCTTCATTATGCTAAGCATTAAAAATTGGAGAATAAATCATTCATTTCTAACTAACAACCCGTAAACAAGTGAAGTCATGAAAGAACTGCTTTTGAAACCACATTAGCTGAATTTCTTCTCTGCTTTTGTATGTCTTTTGCAAGGAATAACTTATGCAAAAAACCTCCGATCTCTGCATATCGTATGCTGTGCTACTTCTACATATAATTGATGCAGATTTATTAATAACTTGTTCATTATACTACAATTTATAAGGAATAAATAAACAAAAAAGAAAACGAAATGGATAAAAAAACAAAAAAGAAAACAAAATACAAAAATAACAAATAGTAAAAACATGTGTTCTATTTTAGTGAAAAACAGCCTTTAGAAAATGTAAAATAAATAAAATTAGAATAGTAAAAACAAAACTTTTAAAATGTAAAATGAAATCACAAATTTTCACTTGTACAAAAATGTAATATAAAACAAATTTTCACTTTAACTATATGAACTCGAAAAATCTTATTTCAGCCTTCAGCAGTTTATTGTCCTAGAAGCACTTTCCTGATAATAGTCAGTAAATTAGAAATGAATTATAAGTAACAACGAATATTTATATGGAAAAAATCACACGGATTCAATATCACCTTTGCTAGATGCTTTGCTAAGATCGAGATTTGGATAAAGTACAGCAGGTTTGTTGCCAGCTTTTACACGACCAACGAAATCTTTCCATTTCGTCAAATATTCCTTCTGGTATCGTTCAAGATAGTAGTCGTAAAGATTTAGCTTTTCTAAAAAGAAAAAGAAATTCAGGACTTGAAATTGTATTTCGTAAAACGAATGACATTTGATGAAAATGAACCATCACCACTATCAGTATCTTTCGCCTATCATTATGTCCATAAATAATCAAAAGTACCATTCGGTCCCCAAGTGTAGATAGCTTTTCGCGGTTTCTTTATTACCGGAGACATACTACGACTTTTTGGTTGCATCGTATCCACTGGCGATTGACTTCTTTTATTTGAAACTGATAAAGAACTGGACTGCAACCTACAAAAGGGAAAAATTATAGAGACCGTAACACCTATAAATCTCAGATAGCCTACAAGACTATTTTTCTTCCAATGAACTCCACTCCTGCTTGTCCAGTACATCATAAATTGATATCAAATGTATCCTCATTGCATTTCATATCAAAAAATTTATGAAAAAGCATTACTGAGTGATACGGACAGAAACATCTTGCACTGAAAGATGAGTTGCACGATCAAGGCCCGAGATCTGCAACCGAGAAAAAATAATACAAAAAAAGAGCACAAAATTAGGGAACGTAAAGCCACACTTGCAATCTCAATATATTTCTTCAAATGATATTTTAATCAAAATGGCTAAAAAAGTCCAATAAGTGAATGATAATAAACAAAAAATAGAAATATACTTGTAGAAACATATTGAACACTTCGAGGTGTCTGGCCGAATGGTTTACATAATTATGCAAATGATTTAGCAGCTCTTCACAAGTGTAACGAAATTGTTCATCCCTGTAAACATTTTTAAATTAAGAAGAAATAACAGTTGTTAAGAAAGACTCCGAAAAAAAAAAATAGGAAAATGATCATTCTGTTAGCATTCTTTACATTTTTCCGAGAAAAACCGAGTGCGTTTTATTAATACTAATTCTTTTTTCTCTTCTGGAATACTGGTTTTCAGACACTAAAATTGATCGCCTCACCTACTGAGCGGATTTTTAAATTTTATACAATCTACACTTTTCGAAGTAAGTGGCTCTTTCGAATCCTTGTAAGTCATTAACGCATAAATACATTCTCGACATTTATTAACGTCATTTGTTGAAAGCTCATTACGTCGAATTAATGTAAGCAGCGGATCAAATTTCTGAAAATTGAACTACTAATGTGGATAAAAAGCACTTAATTTTTATCTGATGACGTTAAAAAATCAGTAAAAGATTAATTTTTTGGAAATGAACCAGATGTAATGTATGACAGTACTTTTGGTATATTATATATAAAAGCTTCATTTAGCTTGCAGGGCCAGTAACGAGTTAGTCTCAACAATTGCTTTCGTGCTTGTTCATTATATGCCGATTCATCATCAGTTGTCGAAAATGGAGCAACTGCAAAACACAAACTTAATGAGCTTTTTGATCCTAACTTTATAGAGTTCCGTACACAATACGTCATGAAATTACTGGTTAAAGCAAATATTTTTTTTCGATGCCAAAATTTTGAGAATAAAATCAGCGTAAAAAAAGAAAAAAACTGAATGAGAACATAAAGACAATAGTTACCTGCTCCTTGTGAAACAACAAGACGTGTTTCTTTCATAAAAGTAGCAAAATCAGCAACACGAAGCGGTGCACTCGGTTTTGGTAACACTGCGCTTGCTAAGAGCTTCTTATCATCAAATATTGCTGCAAAAAACACAGCTGAGAAACAGGAATCTTTTGTAATGAAAGTTGCGAAAACTATGGCTCACGATGATTTCCGATATGCACTGTATGCAAATAAATCCTTCCTGCATGACACATCAACAAATGTGAAATAAGCTTCTGATTAACATTCGGCGTAACATCTCGTGGCAAATGTACGTTTTGTTTTAACACCTAAATCAATTTAAAAACCATTTAATCAAAAAGACAACTGTCAAATACTTTTGTTATGGTAAATCATATCTGCTTATTATTCAGTTAATAAAATTTCTCGTATAATCAGTAAAAAAATTTTCATGTCTTGAAATAAAAATAAACAAAGTTTTAACAATAAAATGTTACTTCGAGCATAACATTCCTGCCGCTAAGAAGAAATGAAGTAAGGCAGACAGATGGTCGACCATTGACACTTGCCGGTGATATCGGAAGTGCAGAGATGATTCGAGGGAACTGAAAAGAAAGCATTCATTTCTATTTTCGGTCTTTCTATGTTTTATTAACTATGCATGATCTCCATGCTTTATTAACTATGCAAATGAAAATAAAAACCTGATTCCAACGATTTTTCGCAGATGGAGTTGTCCAAGCCAATCTCACTGTTTCATAGTCTCCAGGATTAACAGTAATTAATAATTTGGAATCTGGCCCGATCAAGCCATACTGTTGCAACAAATGATGACTTCGACGTGGATGGAATACCTCTACATCATAATTCACCGACTGTCCCTGTTGTGCTTCCTCCTGAAAATCGTGTCAATACCGTTAAAATCTTAAAGTTTTGAATTTTATAAGGATTTATTTATCAAAGTTAACCTTCATTGGTATACCAGTAACTGTTGTAGAGGCTAAATCAAAATGCTTTAGAATAACACCATGCAAAACGGGACGTAACGATAGTCCAGCTTCAGCGCAGACAACACTACATGAAACATATTCATTCATCTGCAAGCTTTAAATTAATATTTTTTCAAACAAACACACAAACCAATTATGTGAATAAAATCCAGAAAATGAATTGCATTTGGCAGAATGAACGGTTTGGTTTTAAGACAAGAAAACTCAAACAAGTTCCAAAATAATTGAAAAAATTAAGTACAGCAACCTTCGTGAGCGGTTTAGCAGTCGGAAGATAGATTTTATCTTTATTCCCATCTGTCACGGGATAAATAATGATGAAATAAACTTGCACGTGAGTAATTGGAGCAAAACTAAAACATATAAAGTATTTATATAAAACATATATTAGAATTTTTTCTGTCTTCTCATTTACATACATTAGGAAAATTCAACTGTTCATTTACTGAGAAATTATAATAAAAAAATCGGTTTTCAGCACTAACTTTTTGTCGCCATCCAAAGCTTTTACAATTTTATTGCGACTGATAATATCTTCCGTGATATGTTTCGTCAGCATAGCAATATCTTCATCACTGAAATATGTTTACTAGTGAAAACCAATTACTCCTTACTCCTTGACCAAAATATCACTATTTTTGAACCAAGTGAATAGATTGATAACACTGATTTCTTTATAAATAATAATTTTTTAAATTTAAATATCAAGAAATTTTTTAACTAGAATATATACCTCTTAAGGGAAGTGAAAACAATGATCGAGCCCATATTTGGAAATGCTTTCTTGATACCACTTTCTATTGTTAATGCACGCATTTCCTGTCTTGCAAGCTTCATCTTCAATGATAAACTTTTCATGCGGTCCTGAAAAGAAAACAAATAAGTTAGTTACCGCATCTGAAATATAAGCAATACATGTAATTGCAATGATTTGATCATTATCAAGAAATCTACACTTTTTAAAAGAATATATGCTTAATCCTACCGCAAATCTCATGCTTCTCAAGTCCGTCTTCTTCTTATCATCAACCAAACCAAGTAAATTTTCTTTGCTCCCCAGCTGCCTTTCATCATCACATTGCCTCATACTGCTTTCGACACGTTTGCTACATTTTCCAAAACACTTGAAACCGGAATTCAAATCGCACTGCTTTTTCTGTAACTCTGTCAACTCACTGATTGCTTCAACAGCGATCGAAATGCCGTTAATTATTGAACAGGATGATAAATCTGCTTTAGCATCCGGGACACCACAGGATGCAAATGATTTCAATAACTGAAAAAAGAGAAATCAATTTATAAAATTTAACGACTGCAAAACACGAATTTCAATAAAAGATTTAAAGGTGCTCAAGCATTAACAACATGAAATGATACCTGCAATGTAAAGAACTTTTCATTCTTGATATTAAAAATTTTTTTATATCTCGAAATTTAATATTTCGTATTTATTGATAGATATCTTACGATGAAATATGAACCTGATCTTGTGAGATAAGTTGTGTACCCCAGTTTGGCGTCAGAAATCTTCCAACAAAATCAGAGATCACGAAACGCATTAGTCGCACACCATCTGGATAAATTTCATCAACAATTCGATGGAATTCAAAGGCTGATTCAACGGCACAAGTCCAAAGCGTCTTTTCCACCTGATTTACTACATGCATCTGTCCCGTTGTTGAGTCTTTCAGAGGAAGATCGATTTTCTGCAAATTAATTGTAATTTCATATGAAAGAATATCAACAATTGCGCTATTCTTAATTATTTTATTCTTACTAAACCATCCCGCATGATATCTATCCACCCTTATTTGTCGTTACAGCTACTACAGGGACAATTTCCGAGGTCAAAAATTTACATATACCTCATATAGAAATGTGTGAGGAAAATTTTCTCTTCTGAACATATCAGTAAAGAATTAAAAATTGCCGGAAAGAATTGAAATTGCAAACTGAGATGGACAAATACAATAATTTTATTTGTATTTAATTAATTTAAAAAAACTAAATTAAATGAGAGAAAATAGAACTAACAAAGTTCGAAGAAGTGGCAAAATCGGGTGAATGATCTAGGACAATAACAGTTTTATGATCCGGACCTACTATTACGTCATTGACCGGTATATTATCACACATATTCCATAATGCTGATAACGGATCCGTGTGAATCCAACGAGTAGAACTAGCGGTTAGTGAAGTGGTCATCATTAACAGAGTTATACAATTTCTAAAAAATTGCGCTTGCATAATTCATGTGGAAATATGTCAATTCATAATTATCAATTACCAAAATTGTCCCAAATTAAAATTAAATGTAAGAGATATTGCTGATTATTTGCTTTCCAGTTTCGAGAATTAAAAATCCATTAATTTCTTTAGAGTTTTCACCATTAATATTGAAGAATAATGACCCAATGTCCTATAATCTAACAACGTCCTGTACATCCGAAAATGACCATCACAGCGCCAAAAATTACTTTACTCTCCTTATCATCCATCGCGAACTGATTCCCTGCCTGATCGCATATTGGCTGATCTTTATCGCGGGCGGGTTAATTCAGATTTATGAGGGAAAATGTGCGGGGAAGTAAGGATAGTGCGGGGGAAAGGGCGGGGGGTAGAAAGGGTGTGGTGATATTGAATATTCAACTGATTTCTTTCTCACGAATCATATCACTCTTCTGGTGATTTTTTTCACTTCCATCTGATATTTCACACTAATCGCATCATTTTCATTCTCTTCTCGTGTTCTTTTTATCTCGTTCTGTCCTAGTATTTTTCATGAATCTCTCCTTTTTATACAGTATATTATCGTTGTTGATTCGTTGACTATTTTACAGTAACAAATGAAAAATAAATCGATGTATTTGGAAGCGACTCGAAATCGTCTTTCTACGATGAAATATTCTCAGTTAAGAAAAGCCGCAAAACGTTATTCAATTAATGCTAATCAGAAGGTTGTCAATATATAATAATTCTGAGATTTATTTATGCATATTTGTTTGTTTGTTTTCTTCTTTTTTTTACATGAAGAACATGCTGGATTAATACATGCTGTTTTGTACAACATTCTGAATTATACACTGATCTTGAATCATATTATCTAGTAACCTTTGTTGAACTCGAACTATATGAAAACTAACTAGCGCAGGCGAATTCATTTCTAATCATTAAAATTAGCTCAATCGATTTCATTCGTGTTTAGTTAAATTTTAGCTAATTCAAACTGATTAATTTTTTCTGAAAATTGGTTTCCAGTAATAGCTCCAACAATAAAAACAATACTATGTTGTATTTCATGTGGCATTAAAACTAATTATTTTTTGCGGATAGATTTGAATGTCTATTGATAGAAATCATCAGCTAATATCAATTCAGTTATATAAAATTTTTCAGAAAGAAGTGTTAATAACGGAACTGTCGAAAATTTTGAGAGATCTTGAGTGCAATAAAGAAAATATTACTCCGAAGGAAGTTGCGGAATCTGAGGTATTGATATGATTGGTCATTAGCTTCTTTACACTTTTATTTTTATTTCGTCATATTGTTTAACTATGTGATTCTCTATCCTTTCTTAATAATGTTTTTTTGATCCCATTCCATTTTCTAAGACATATTTGTGATTGTTTCGAATAGTTTTTGATCATAAAATGACAAGATACTTAGAAGAATAATCGGCGAGCTCATATAATTTCTTCATTTGCATTGTTCTATTTTATTTTTTCAGATGGTCTTATCGTGTTCGCCTAAAAATTCCTTGAATGATACACTTAATCAGACTTTTACTATTGAACGAAATAGTGATAGCGATTTGGAACCATGCGTCGAAAAGTTAATTGCAACAAGTTAGAAAAGTTTCCAAATATTTCCTTTTTTTAATAATAATCTTATATGATCCTCTTTTACTTCAAAATTGTGTTATAAAAAAAGAGAAAAGGAATCTATGGTCCAAACTGATAATATTCTTTCACTTCTTTTCAGATGAGAATCCACTTAATAAAAAAAGCATCTTTGAATATAACGAGAAAGCTAATTTCATGCCAGCAAAGTCTTCCAGTTTCGTTCGAAAGATGGAACAAGACGTAAGCGCTTCTTGCAAGGGCAAATCTGCTACACGTGGTGCACGTAAGCTATTATTTAGTTATTAGTTTTTGTACTGCGTCCATTCACTGCTATCTCATTAAGTACTACCATGCATACAGGATTTTAAGCTCTTATAGATCTTTTCGAAATATTTTATGGATTTGTTTACTTATTAGTACGTCCACCCTACTCTGGAAATTTCTCCATAGCATAGAAAGCAGTTTGATATCGATTTTGGTATGGTTGTTTCTAAAAATCGTGGAAAGAAAACTTTCAGAAATTTAAAGTTTTAAAATGAAGGTAATAAAAATTGTACAAGTATTTTAATGAAGATTTAGTTGTTGCGCGATTTGCCGCGATCCATCAAAAATTGGCTGAGAAACAGCTAACTTTGCAAGAGGCAGATGCAAATGTGAAGCGGAAGTTTGCAGAACATGAACGAGAGGTTCCTGATATTTTCAAAGTAAGTTTATATTTCTGGAGTTTGCAATTGTGCAAGCTCGGTGAGATTTAGCAGAAAAATTGAAGGAATCTGCGTCTCACATATCGACTGCCAAGAACTGATCCGGTTTTTAGTTAGAATTATTTTACGGTTAACTGAAAGAATTGTCCAAAATATTTGTGTTGTATTTTAGCATTCACATTATTCGGTTTAAATTGCTTGTGAGGATATGAGAAAATGGATGTGGTCAGGAGTTTAGTGGCTGCAGAATTTATGTTCTGCAAACTTGGAAGTCAGTGATGACTTGCTGTAAATGATTACGGGGCAGTCTTAACTAAACAGAATAGTTTGGCGGCAAAAATTTTGAGCTTACGGGAGTAATATGCAGTTTTTAATCGTATTATAGTAAAGAAATTGGATGGTCTTAATAACTGTGAATTAGAGAAATTCTTTTCATAAAATTCTTACTTATTCGCCGCAAAATTTCATGCATTTTTAGAGATTAGCTACACCGAAAGCTTTGAAAACAAAGCCTCGAATGGAAGTCTCACTGGAGAATACTGGGTATGTCTTTGCTGTATATTTAGGCGGTGGATGAAATTTTCTCTTCATCTAAATTTCCTTGTAATTTTCTGTTTCACTTTTTGATAAAATGTCTTTCCGATGTCTTAAAATGTACTCCATCAACAGATTTTTTAAGTGCTAGATTTTAGGGAAACAGATTCAGGGACTTAGCTAAAGAAGCTTTGTAAATCTCTTTTGTTGTAATTTCTGTTGCTTAATGTATCTTTGTTCAGACATAAGTTCAAGAATATTGATGAAGATTTATCGAAGATGGATTTTTCATTTTCAAAATTATATGGCACAAAAAATGCTTTCACAGCGGAGCAGAACTACGCTGATGTTGATTCACAGTCTCAAGTACCGCTATCTCGTAGACAAAGGATACAAAACGTGTGCTATTCGTTTTTTAAATTTTGAATAACTTTCATGCCTTCTTAAAGATAGCCAGGATTTTACAATGGTTTTATAGGTTGATGTGAAAGGACTGACGAAAAAACTCAATACTGAGCAAGTTCGACGATCCCCAAGGCTTATTAAATTAAGCAAATATACTAATTCTGTAATCGTGCCACAACTAAGTACACGTCTGCAAAGACTGGCTACTCCAAAAGGAAAAAATCCTGAAGGTAAGTTGTTTTGTAGTTTTTCCAATTTAACACTCTCATTATTTGGTTGAATTGTCGGTCGTCCTCCTGATACCATTCAATCCGTTCCACAGTTGACCACTATTAGAAATAGTAATGGCTGAATTGGTATGTTAATGATTTTATTTATTCATTCAGTGTCGTTAACGGAAAGTGAAAAGAAAGCGCTTCGTAGATATGGGCGTCGGTATACACCCTATCGTCGTATGATACCTTATGTAGACACTACAAAAATGACTGATAACCAATTTCAAGAAGCAAAAATGCTCGGCAAAATACAGACGTTCACAGCTGTTTCCGCTTCAAGGTTTGTTTATTTTTGCCCCTGTTATGCTCAAGTTTTTCCAAAATAAAACTTTTAGATTTTCTTGTGACTCGTAATCAATACTGTTGATTAATAAAGGATTATATAAATGCACCAGTTTGTTCCAGAAGTGAAAGACGACAGCAACTTCGTCTGAAACGTGACCAGGCTCGTCAACGGATATTGACAACAAAACGTGGCTGTTGAAAAAAGTGTTATTGAAGTACCGATTCTAGCACTGCAACGTTGTTGAGATAATTAAGGCATACCTGAACTTTTCTATTATCATTCCAATTTTGACTGGTTTATGCTTTTTCGTTACTTTCTCAAAGGTTTTGTTTATATTTGCTTTCTACTGAACTAATACTTATGTGAATCATTACTTTGTAGTGAATTTCTTTAATTATTTTATTTTTATTTTTTATAGATCATATACGTCTACATTTTGTTCATGTACAAGTTTTATGCACTTTTATTTATTCACGTGAGCTATTCCAGCCCTGAACTTTTATAAATATTTTATGCGCTGTGATCAGCCAAGTATTTTTTAGCTAAGGATAATAGTATTAATCTATCATTCCAGTTAGTAACCTATCACTGTCATATTCAATTAAACTATGTCAAATAAATTTGAAGCGATTTCGGCCAGAGATTACGAACATTTTGTTATTATATCAATGGTTTTTTCTGTTTTCTTAAAATTTTTTCATACTGTTCTCAACCACTTGGTACGGTTATCAGTGGTTCAAGATTGAAAGCATGTATGTAAAAATTATATGATGTTATAGGTAGTTGTAAATTTCTCTAGTTTGTATCAGTTTTTTTAGCCATGCAAGTTTCAAGGAAAGGAATTTCATTGATTCGATTCCACGAAATGTCCACAGGTTATGTGTAAGTCACATTACTGAATATACAGAAAACATGTTTAAAAAATTTGGGAATTACACCTCTCAATATTTTCATTTTAATGGCTGTTCGTGAAATACTTGTGTGTTTTTTTCATTTACCCAAAATATGGTATGGAAGTATCTAAGCAATAGTAAGCTGCTAAATTCTCGTATATTTATCTCCTTTCCCGAACCTGGTACATTCCGAATAGTTTTGTTTCAATAGATCCGTTATTCGTCGAGAAAGTTTCAGTGCTCAAAAATTAAAAGGTGAAGATTATCAGTATGTTCACAAAAGTGATATTCCAACATATCATTTCCAGAGAAGTCTTCGAAGACTGCCGATTCCGAAGTTGGCAGATTCGTGTCGCAGGTACTTTTATTTGAAAGACAATTTATGTGATAGTCATTTTATTGCCTAATGAGTTAAATACTTGTAAACAACGTAACAGCATTATGAAGATTTCTTTATTTTGTAGGCTCATAGGAGCTGCAGAAGCCGTACTTCAAAAAGGAGAATTAGAGTTGTTGAAAGAACTCGTGGAAGATTTTATGGCAAACGAAGGTCCAAGTAAGTATATATTTCATAACACTTCATTTTTTATAATTATTTTGCACGTTGTATGTAGTGCAATGCTACTGCTTTCAGAACTGCAAAAAGAGCTCGTATTACATGATAAACGGAATCTTCATACAAGCTTCATATCAGAACTGTGGTTTGATATGTACCTGAGCGATCGTCTTCCTTGCCCTATCAATTATAATCCATTCATGGTTTATGCTCCTGATCCAGACCCAACTTATAATGATCAGGTATGAGTCGGTTATCAATAAATTTTTCAGTTTCAGTAATAATGCAAGAATTATTGGTTATTGAGTCGGTTGGTTCATTGAGTTCGCTATATTTCTCTAGCTGTATGCCAATTGCGAGTTTTTTTATGGATTATATTAGATATTCGTGATATGTATAAAAATAAGAATGTTGGAAATTGTAAGTCTTATTTGGTTGAGATGTCTAGTTATTATCTAAATATTTTGTTATCGATTTTAGGTTACTCGCGCAACAAATCTAATCATTTCATACGGTCGTATTAAACGTGCATTAGATGCAGAGTGTTTAGCCCCAGAAATATACTGCATGAATCCTAAAGTTGCGAGTTCAACGCCGTTTAAGTGGATTTGCAAGTTTGTCCATCTTTAAGATTTCTTTTCTCTAGTTCGTAACTGATTATCCTGTGATGAATGAAAGCAACTTTATTTCATAGGATTTGCATTTTTATGAAAAACTATTTATATCAAAATAAGTGAGAAAGCTACTGCAAGGAAAGATGAAATATATTTTTGTGAACTATAAGTATATTGTGAACCCTCTAGGAACTTGTCGGAAAATTTACGGTGGTACGGTGCAGCGGCTTTTGGTGCATTTCCATTGGATATGAGCCAGTACAAATCACTTTTTGGCGGTTCACGTATTCCACAAAAAGGAAAAGACTGGCTTTTGCATTGTGCTGATTCTAAACATTTCATTGTTTTGCACGGGGGAAGAATTTATGCTGTTGATTTGTTTGACAGACATGGTATGTTATTGACTAAAGTAATTCAGAAATTTGATAAGTCGAAATGTCATAAAATGGCATAAATGCATTTAACTTATTTGGTATTCGCAAATTATCTTTCGCTTATTTTATTATGACAAGATTTTTGATATCCACAGGTTCAATTGTACCTGCAGAGCAAGTTCAGGCTTGTCTATCCATCATATTATCCGAACAGAGCCACCTAAAATCGGAAGATTGTGTGGGGTCTTTGACTGCACTCGAGCGCGATCAGTGGGCAAAAGTCAAGTTTTCTTGTACAGCTATTCTTTATGATTTTTCCTAGTTTTTATTTTCTCAAAATTACTTTATCTATTTATTGCTTTACGATGAGTCTCCACGCTGACTTATCTGAAGCAATCCTGGATAACCAGTGAAGACTGGGCTTCTATTCACTCAGACAATTAGTCTATAAAAAACTGTGTTTGCGATGGAAACATGGAAAGATTTGTCATAATTCGAATATTTTAGGCTCGTTCTGAGCTGTCTTCAGTTGGCAGTAATTCGGCAAGTTTGGCACTAATCGATAATAGTTTGTTTGTCCTTTGCCTGGATTCACTGAACAGTGATGATTTAAATCAATTGGCCGAGAACTTACTAAGTGGGGGCGACGCTAGAAACAGGCATGAATTTTTAAAAATTTCACATGGGTTTTTAATGCAGAGCGGATCGACTAATTTTCGACATGACAATAAATTTAATGCTTGTGTTACAATTAATCAATCGAAATTTGAGTGAAGCAAACCAAATGGGTATTTTTTCAAACATTTATTATAAGAGAATATTTAAGTTGTTTTGCTGCTTTTCTGATTGAATAAATGACTTTTAAGATGGTTCGATAAATGCTTCCAATTGATAGTCGACGCTCAAGGTATGGCTGCGATAAATTTCGAACATAGCTGGGGTGATGGTGTTGCTATACTTCGTCTAATGGAAGAATCATTCCGTGATACGAAACAAAATCATTTCGTTCATCCCAATCAGACTTTCAGTGTCGAGACATATTTAGGAAATAATTTACGACCAGTTGGTTGGTATTTTTGATATGTTTAACTATCCAGAATTCTAAAGGCTTCTAAAAAGCAATTCTTATCAAAAAGAGCCCAGCAGTGACTTGAAGCTATTTTTCTATGGACGTATTAAGCTTGAACAATTAAAGGTTTTGTACCATAATGACATTAAGCAGTTATAATAATATAATCCTTATGTATGATAAGTGATATCACTCTATAAAGATTACTCGAATTAACTTAAGAAGTAATTTCGATTTCTGTTCTTTCTCAAAATTTTTAGCAAGTACTACGAAATATTTTGCAGAATTCATGTTGACTGACTCAATACGTCAAAGGATTCAAGAAGCTCAGGCGAAACACATTGCGATAGGGTCCAAACTGTGTTTTAGCACTGCAGAATATTTTGAAATGAATCGGCAAATTATCAAACAGTCAAAGCTATCACCGGACTCTATCATGCAATTAGCAATTCAACTAACTTTTTATAAACTGTTTAAGGAATTCGTTCCATCTTACGAATCCTGCAGCACTGCGGCTTTTCTAAAAGTAAACTTAAGCTCATTCATAAGCTTTTGAAGTTCTCGTATAGCTCTTTCCACATAAATGAATAATGACTATAATAAATTAAGAAAATTGTCACTTCATTTCAAATTTGAGCATATTTTAAGTGGCCTAGGATGCTTTTCTTTACTACAGACACAACATTTATGGGCGGTAGTTACATTCCTAATAAGCTGAACAATTACACACCTTTGTGATGAATTTCAGGGACGAACAGAATGCGTGCGTTCAGCAACATGTGCTACAACTAATGCAGTCTTGGCAATTGAAAATAACATAAGCAATATTGGTGAATATCTGAAGAAATGTTCCACAGTGCATTCACAATTAGTGAAAGAAGCTGCAACAGGTAATTGATATAGTTGCTACAGACATTCAAAATTATTATATTACTATCACTTATGTTGAAATATACTAATATTAAAGGTCAAGGTTTTGATCGTCACTTAATGGGTTTGCGTTGTACTGCTGAGCGGCTTGGTTGGTCACAGCCAAAGTTGTTCAATAGTGCAGTGTATAAATATATGAATCGCTTCATCCTGTCAACATCTACTCTTTCAACAGAAACTATAACATTTGGTGGATTTGGCCCAGTTGTTCCTGATGGTTTTGGTATTGGTTACAATGTATTAAATAACAAAATGGGAGCTCTTATTTCATCCTATAAGGTCATTGCTAAAGACATTTTTATTCAAAAAAAAAAGTTTTACGTATTACGGACACAAACACAAAGGAAACGATGATATTTTTAAAATGCATTTTGTAGACGGCAGAAAGTTTTATGAAAAATGTAAATAGATTTAAATAATGACATTCTAATTAGTAGGTCGATTAAAAGAAACCGTTTGAGGGCAAAATAAGGTTTATTTTGGGACAGATTTAGAATCGGTTTACTGGTTAAATGAAAGATTAAATCTTTGTTGAAGAGTAGCAAGTGTTATTTTGAATTTTTAGTTTCAAACGCTGTTTTGAACAGTGTAATCAAATTGCAGCGGAATTATCCGATACTGAAGGGCTTTTCATTTTTGCCTTTTTTTCAGAATCAGCGCAGTGCGGATGCATTCGCAAGCTCACTTCTGGAAAGTCTTGATGTTTTGAAAAATATAATCGTTAAGTAACAATATGTGATAAATTACAATTTTATTGTCTTTCATCCTTTTAAGCTGTGATAGCCTGAATTGAACAGTAACTCATTGTGCTTCTGTTTCTATTCTAGGTCAATAAATATGCATAAAGAACATTTTGTTATTTTGAAATTTTGGTATTATATTCCTAAACATGTTCTTTATTATTATTCTGTAAAAACTATTAAGGCAAGGCTTCAATATCATCCGTTAAATTTGTTTGTGCTGGCTCCATTCTTCCCGTATCAAAAAAAATTCACGATTTTAATATATTTATTTAAACTTTCTGGAGAAATGAACAGAGATTATAAACTCTTTTTGGTCGCTTTCAAAATTAGGAAGATGAAGAAATAATTACTGAGGTCTTAATTTCAGGAAACATATATTTAGAGTATTATGTTAAGGCAGAGACGGTTATTGTTGGAGACGTTGCGGAAGTTCGCGTCTAATTACAGCAATCGTGAAGTATTGACTGATTATCATTACACTCCTTTCGGCAAGTTTAATTTTTTTGTTACCCAAAAAGTTTCAACTGTATTTTTATAATCCAAATAATTTGTTTAAGTAGTTTATCCTATGCAAAATAATTTAGTTTGAGATATCACATTCCAATATATTTTATAGACTGTCAGGCAACGAGTAAGAGATGAGGTAAAGAAGTGAGCAGTGGGAAGATATGATTCAAGTTTTTGTTTCAGATGATGATGATGATCAAGGTCCAAGAACAAGTATATCACGTCTGAACGATGAAATGCAGAAATGTCAGCAGATTGGTATTGGAAGTATCAGTAAGTACGGTTTTCGTCTGTATGATGGTCAGTTCCTTTATGGTCCAGTTGCAATTTTTCCGAAAGCTGTGCTGTCATGGCGTATTCTTACACCAGATGATATCACTCCCGAGTCGGTGCAGTTCTTTACGATGCTTGAGCCAAAATTGGATGTACTGATAGTTGGACCAGGAGAACGTCAATATGTCGACCCCGTTCGAAGACGAATTGCTCCTTTTTTATCTAAACATAAAATTGGACTCGAAATCATGCATTCGGCAAGTTATTCTTTACAGATCTTTTCTAACACTTTTATATTCTGATCAACCGCAGTTTTTTCTGTTGATTTGACAAAAGATTTTTGGTCTTGAACTTGTATATCCAAATTTTTCTGTATAGCTTCATTCTGATATCTTACATTTTTTTGAAGGAATCGCCAACTGGCATGACGTGATTTTAATCCTTCGAAATCTTGACTTTTAGGAAGAAGCGGCAATGTTATTCAATATGTTAAATGTTGAATACCGCTGTGTGGCTGCAGCACTTTATCCGCCGGATGATATGCTGATAACGACAAATGACCAAGTACGCCTAATGAACATGTACGGCAAACCATTAGATGATGGTATGGATCTAATTAGTGATACCGATGATAAGCTGAAATTAGCAAAGAAAGCGATACGGAAGTATTTGCCGAAAAATGAAGCAAAGCAAATGGATAATTTGCGAACTTCGAGATTTTTGATACCCGGAGAAAGCGATGATAAGAACAGTGAAAAAGCCAAAAATAAATAATGTTCATTAATAAGGATTCATGAAAAAATAAATAGAAACACACAGCTCGTTTGCTAGTAGTCTGGCGACTATATGAGAGGCGTGCTACATGATATTCCTGAGAGTTGATTAATCACATCCATCGCGTGTGTATTTTTTGCAATTTAGATAAGATAAAATATACGGCGGATCGTTTTGCTACGATCTTTTCGTTGTACCCAGTACAACGTAGTCATAGTTTTACGTGGAACTTTTTCACGTAACGCTTAACATACTTAAGGAAATACTGATTATGCTTGAGAAAATGTTTATTTTCGTGTATAATTGTTCTGTATACGGATTATGATGTGGTAAGACCATTGCATACTTCAATTCTAACTGCTTAGACAACCGTTTTATAAAATAACAAAACAAACAGTGAAATGGTTGATTACTTTTGATGTGGTTATTTAAAGAGCAATATTCGTTACCAAATTCGTTCTTGTATAGCAGTTAGTGGCACAGTGGAGACGTTTTGGTATCTTGGTAAAGCGGGTGAACGAATAAAGCCGTTAGTGTGGTTTCTGATTTTGGTGCAGTGGGGGAGAAAAGGTTTAGTTATAATATCTCAGTGAAACGGACAACGGGTAAAGTAAAATGTGTTCATGTACGATAAATATTGTAAATAGCTGCATGAATAAAGCGTATTTAAAAGTTTTTGGCTAAATTCATTTGATGTTTTCAAGATGGTTTTCAATACTTTTTGTTTTTCTTTGCATTAAATATGAAATGTGTGGCGTTTATAGTGTGATAATATTGAAGGTCTGCTAATTAATTGAGGAGGTTTAATCGTAATTCTTATCCCTACTGCTGGAACGTAAGCAAAAAAAAAAGGATTGTGGAAAAATCGAAGATAAAGCCCAGTATTTATAGTAATATTTTATTAATGACTTGATGACTTGAATTTTTTTTTTAATTAGAAAGGGGCAAATTCCAAATGTCAATTATCGTTTATTCCAGTAAATCACTTTTTTCTTGAAATTTTGTTATGAAATTACTGAAAATTTGAGAGAAGGAGAGTTGGAATAAATCTCATTCATAAAATCTCGAGTAGCATTTTTATCTCGCTTCTATTGATAGTTTTGGGTCAGCGATTGTTTGATCCTCGTTAGAAAACATTCAGTTAAATTACGCAAAAATATAAAAAAATTTGATCCTGATTTTAGCGACGGATGAGGTTGGCTCTGTGGGAAGCACGGCACGCGGCCGCGCTAAAGAATTATGATGCTGCAGCTCGATCCTATATGGCTTTATTCAATGACCTTGAACTCGAAGATCGACGAAAATATCTGGATGAATTTGTTTCTGTATTGGAAGAGATGAGTTCGGAGGATGGTGGCGGTGATTATTCTAAACAAATTATGTTACTACTTCAAAGTCGAGTGCTGTTCCCGCATGAAGCTATTATTTTGAATGCATCAGCGAAGTTCTTCTTTGCTGTTGGTGAGCAGCTTCATTATTTATTATTTATTTATTCGTTCGATACAATCAGGATGCTTTCTAACCTATCATATGTATACAGCTAGCTATCTCTGTAATGCTATAGAATATGATTGAATGAAATGTGTGAATTGAGTTGTGCAACATTTAAATTAATGTTTGCAAATCTGATTTTAATAAATTACGAAATTTCCGCTCTCGTCTCTTACGTTGATTTAGGCTCTTGATGATTTGTTGGTCTATCTGGAATCTGTCATAAAATTTGGATTGATGTTTAGTCTGAGATTATGTGTCCTTCTTGTATTCAAAAAATTTTCAAGATCGCTGGGTATATATTGATTTTTAGTTATATAAATATATGTGTAACTAACTTCAATAATATTCGATTTAGGGCGCCTATTAGAAGCTTTTGATTTTGCTCAGGAAGCGGTCACTGGAAGCGAAGGTCTACCGCATGTTTATGCGCTTGTAAATTTGGAAAATATTAAATCGAATATGTAAGTCATCTAAAGATGTTTTTTCTTTTTATTAATATTTATTATAATTTCTCTGTTTCAAAACTAATCACAGTCGTGCCTGCACTGAAGTGATTTCAAGTCAGACCAATTCGTTATGATAAGCTATCTGAGGAGGTCCATAAATAATCTCTAATCAATTCACCTATTTGATTTTCTCTTGTGCTTAATCATTAGCTGTCTAATATATTGTGGATTGAAAGATGTGATGTACCGATTAGCATCGCGATTTCTCTCACAAGATTTATATGTGGTCTCATCTATTGTGTGCTAACGCGGTAGTTTATCCAATAACTCGTTGTATTGCATGATTAGCATTGATGATTTTGCTATAGTAATTTTCATAGTCTATAAATTTGTCACTGCAGTTTAAGTTTAAATGAAGAATTGACTTGTTTGATTGATTGTTTGGTAATTTTAGAGATCATAATTTAGCAAAAGTTCTTATTCCATTGCATTTTAATTTTAATCATTAATTTTTTCAGTATGGACCAATGGCACTGGGCAATGTTGAATGATGCTGGGCGTAATGCTGCTTATGCGACTGCTATAGAACTTATAGCTAATTTGAGACCAGAAAGCCGTGTTCTTGATATTGGTACTGGCACTGGTTTGCTTACATCAATTGCACGCAGGTTCATTTTATTTCGAAGTGAAATAATTTCGTATCAAAAATTAGTCCCACTAGTCATGTTGTTTACGAGATTAAAAAAAGAATCATTAACCTATGCTTAGTCCAATCATCGATTTAACTTAGAGCGCGTTGGCTATCGGAATTAAATTTTTATAGCTCAGATTTATATACAAGCTGTATGCTAAAAATGGATTTAAAACAAAATTCTTGAAAACAGCGTTTTTACGTTTCTCTATAGCTTTTTGGACTGGTGATTACAAAAGCACAACATTTTTTGATGATTGATGTTAAAGGCATTTCAAGAACGATGTGTATTGTTGTGAAGTTGATCTGAATATGTGTGACATTGCTGAAAAAGTACTGAATGAGGCGGTGATCCGTAAGCATTCTTCGGATGTTACGGTCGAGGATATTGGCTCTGAAAAGGTAAAGGAATTGGATAAATTTAAAGATATTTCAAAAATTCATCATGGATTTATTAGTTTAATTTTGCATAAAGAGGAATATTTTTTTTTTTTGCAGGTAGATGTAGTAATTACCGAAACAATGGATTGTGGCTTATTGGGAGAGGGTATTGTATGTTCGTTATATGACGCACAAACACGAATTTTATCGTCGTCACCAATTGTTGTCCCAAAATGTGTAAGATTTTTATTTAATGAGTCTCTTTTCTAACTGTTGCCTTTCATCTTTTAGGTTGAATGGGATAGGAATATGAATCTTTCAGGCAACAGTATATGCATGCATCATCGAGAGTCCAGCAATAATGGATGAGCATATCGCAGTTTTCTGTGGACGTCGTTTTGCTTCCGATAGCGTCACATTTTCGTACGGTATGTTTTTCTTTCCTGTTTTTGTTAAATTATTTCGTGGATAATTTCATGTTGTATATTTTTCACTTCATGCATAATATAAATGTATATGTCTTTCCATTTCAGATTGCTTTTTCCTGCTCATTAAGAATGCTGATAATTACTTGGCAACTTTGTTTCAGATAATTTTTCAATTCGTTGTAGGCCCTCAGAGAAGGTCAGAGCTGATGGAACTGGAACCATATTGGTGTTCTTCAGCAGCTGAAATTCGTGGAGGATACAAAGTCCTGAGTAAAATTGTTGAAATATTTGCGGTGAATTTTAACAATTGTGCGGAGCTGGAAAAAATTATTAATAATGGTACCACAGATCTACGAATAGCCCCCATAATACGTGATGGTACTGCACACTGCATCATGGTTTGGTTCAGGTTCGTTAGCTCCTTCCAGTACATCGGGTGTGTAGTACAAATATTGTTTAATTTGAACTTCCTTCAATTAAAATTATTATTACAACCCCTTTAAATAACTGTGGGAAAAAGAGAGGAAGAGGTGCGAAGAAAAGATTTCTGGCTATGAAAATAAGGATATCAATTACTTGAATAAGTTTTAAATTATATTAACTTGTAGATTTCTAACTGATTTAACTACACTTTACTTCAGAGTTATTCGTTATCATTAACCTACATTATGGATAGTGAAATTTTCACTATTGAATAAGATATTAAATTTTTTTAAGTTGCGTATTATTTCCGGGTGCACCAATTCTTGATACAAGTCCAGAAACAGACGGTTGTTGGCAGCAAGCATTATATCCGTTACCAAAACCAATAACTTTGTGTCGAGGTGCCATCTGTACATTGAAGGTTAAATCTTTCAAAGATCGACTGCTTTGTGCTCTTCGAGACGTTGTTATTCCTGACGATCCTGAAGTTGCTGGAAACGCAAGACAGTCATGCAGTAGTAACACTGATAACAGCACATCATTCAAAGAGAATGATATGGAACAAGAATCAAACGTTGACAAAGATGAAGGCTCTGCACTGCCATCAAAACGTACCAAGCATGATAGCGAGACAACTGCCAATATGATGATTAATTATAAGAATTATGCATCGACAGATACTATTATTGTTCTACCCAACAATGATTTTTTACTGATGAACGATAAACAGTTGATACATTTTTTCAAGCGTAGTTTGGCTGATATCCAACGACGAGAAGCAATGTTAAACAAGAATCAGGATATCTACATCCTTGATATAACTAATTTGGGTGCTGTATCGATAGCTATGGTGAATGCGTTTCCAAAAATGCAGTTTAGTTGTTATAACAATGATGCCCATAAACTGGTCCATCTTTTCTCCCCTCATGTCCACAATTTTGGCGCATTTCCGGATAATCAAGGTCAGTTGCTTTTTGTAGGAGAACAGCAATGAACTGAATGAAACTTCTCAATAACTCGTGTTTGCTTTTTGTATATTTAGATCACTATTCAAAATAAGAGCTGAGTAATTGCACTTTTAAAAATTACGACAATTATGCTAAATTTTGCTAATTTTCTATTTGCAGATATTGAGTT